TCAGTTTCAGAATCACTTTTAAAGCTTTTTGAAAATATTGATTTTTTAACATACGTGCCACGGGCAAGGCCGGGTTATACCCGCTAGTAATATAATATAATATAACACTCTGTCTCTCTGTTTTTATACTTACAGGTCTAGTCTAATCTAGTCTTAAAGCTTTCATAGGTGGAATAATTGGATCTTATATGGCAAAACATTCTGTTTTCAACGATATTTTCATAAAGCTCAGCTGTAAAATACCACGTATGTTAACGAGTTGATGGTCGTGTAGCTATGACGTGGGCTGGCGTGGGGTTTATAGGGTATCTCACCTTGCTACTCATGGATAGCAAATTAGCAGATGTTAAAATTCCACCCCAACTTAACATACATATTTATTATGACACTTAAAAGTGAAATCATACGAAAAGGGTGGGATATAAGGTTGATTAAAACCTAAAGCTTAATAGAAAGAGATTTAAAATGCATGCTTAGGGCAAAATATAATAATGGTTTCATGTTGATAATTACTAATTATATTCTTATAATAAGCAAATAGTGTATAATTAAAACGGTGTAAAACTTGAAAAAAATTATTTAAATGGCAAATGTAACCAAAAGCAATCTGACTTTATTCTATAGTTTATTAAAATTAATAAATTAATTATTAATAAAAATCGCGTTCAAACTTAAGCTCTTTAAATTTGTTCTTTTTTTCGATTTCTGTGCTGATTTGCGAAAGGATTTTTTTTAAAATTAATTTCACGTTGTCTACATTAAAGAGAGTTTTAATTTATGATAAATAATAATACCACTTACGTACATATCATCCAAGAAGAAGAATCAAGCACTGGTCAAATGTGGCTGAGCTATCTTTTCTCTCGGTCTAGTTACTCTCTTTTTATTTTTATATGCACTCTTCAAAAATTTGCTCTCTTCACCAACATGGCGTTGATAACAACAGAGCAAAAGAGAGAAAAAAGAAAAATGGTAAGAGTAAACCAATTTGCAAAAAAAGAATTGACCAATTGACAAAATTACATGAGGTTTTCATGAGACAACTTTACAAGTTTTTGCCGTGATGCGCCTAAGCGATATTAATTACGATCATGATATAACAATTTCGGTTATACACTAATATTTTTGGGACGAACTTAATAAAAATAGATTTGAATTAAAATCTAAATATTTGTTTTTTTTTCGTTACACTATGCCACTAATTATGCCCATATTGTGTGGGAAATTAACACAATAAGAAAATGCCCGAAAATTATGCGGCCTCACCGCCGACGTTTGCTGCTAAGCCGCGGAGTAGAACTGATTCGGCGGCAATGCGGCGACAAAAGATAGTCTCTCCCACAAGCGCCACTATAGGCGGCGAATTCACTTTAATGCTGGGAGCGAGGTAACTGATCTCCAAAAGGGAACATCTGATTTGGATTTTGCAATCATTTCAGGCGAATTCAGTGAATTATGGGCATTTCGGCAGCAAATTCGTCGTCATCAATTTCCCCTGGTGCTTAGCTTAGCCTGGTACTAAATTTGGGCTTTTTTTTCCAGCTATTAAGTTCTGAGCTTGTACTATATTAAGAGCTCGTATTAAGTGTCAATCCTGAAATGCAATCTCTCTCTTTGCCTGTCTCTCGTTTTATGTATACATACATATATGTATATACATATGAATTTTAGTTGATAAAATTGCGCGTCATTCCCCGGCTGACCAATTGCCCAATGTCCATTGTTTTCATTGCTTTTTTCTTTGTTCTTCTTCTTTTTTTTTGTTGACAAATGGCCACTCAAGTGGATTAAAAATGGTTGTAACTAAATAACTAAATAAATCTGCGGCCTAGACATGCACATTTGTCAAAAGTCGCCCCAAAACTGGCTGACAAAGTGGGCGGTGGGCGGGGGCATGTCGAAGTATTTGTCGCATATTAGTTAAGCCTGCAAAAAAGGTCAATTTTTCTGTGTAGTTAAGTTTTGACTGGAATACAGCCAAAAGCAAAGCTTAAATGCCTCTTTGTCTCTCCCCCTCCCCCCCTCTCTCTCTCTCTCTCTCTCTCACCTGCTCTACCTCCCTCTCGCTCAGCCAAGTCAACATCAAAGGCCGCGGACGCTGCGCTTATTAGCTCGACGGCATTTTTCGGCATGCAAAGGCATTTTTTTAAGGTGCGCTTTTAATATGAAATACCCTGTACTTTTCATGCTAATGAGGTCGTCTCAACCTACATTTTTGTGTGATTATGTTCGAGCTGCATTTTACTATGGCAAATTGTTGCTGGAATCAATGATTTCTCATTAACTTAAGCTAAACTTACATAAATGTAACAAAACAAATATCTTCTATATAGGATATTTAGATATTATATATATTATTATAATATATATATTATGTATACACATAAAACAAGTATCAACATTAGATTAGAAGTTTTAAAGGAATAAAACTTTATTTCGCCAATTTTAAAAATTTGTACGTTGTTAAAGTTTATGCATATAGATCAACGTGAATTTTGTGTATATTTAAGACATTCTCAGATATATTCAATTTGGATAATATACATATACTTTTACTAAAAAAAAAAACACTGTGTTCAGACCTGTAATTTTCTAATTTCCTGTTAATTATTTTTTTATTTTTTTTATCGAACTTTTAATTCTTTATAAAAAGGCAAAAATATGACAATTTTGTGTTCTATGAACGTGTCTTTGAACTACCCTAAACAGGGTATACGCCCGTCAGGCATGCTCAATTATAGCGTCCTACTTTATGCTTCTTTATTTTTGTAACTTCTTTTTACTTAGTCACAGTCTTTTTTTTATATTTTTATTGCTCAACCTGCTTTTTTTCTTGTTTATAATTTGTTGCTGTTGTTTATTTTTTTATTTTTTTTTTTTTGGCCTTACCGAAGTATTTGGTGCATGCAACATTTGATGTGGACATATTTTTGGCGTTAATGAATAAAATTCATGAAAAACCTATCAATTCAGGTCTTAACTCTTGAAGTGTCGGCAGCTTAGCCAAATCCCCGTGAGGCCCCAAGGCCGTGCTGGGGCTCATGAGTTCTTGATCTGTGCTCGATTGGCGAACAGCATTGGAAACACAATCTGAAGTATCTCGTGGCGCCAATTAATGAAAATGGAAAGGAGAACACGGCGAGCAAATGTCCAAAATCATTTGGCTTCAGCTTCTTTCTGTTTTTTTTTATACCCTGGACCCATTGAAAATGGGCAAAGAGGGTATAATGTATTTGTGCAAATGTATGTAACAGGCACAAGGAAGCATCTCCGACCACATAAAGTATATATCTATCTTGATCAGCATCTATAGCCGAGTCGATCTAGCCATGTCCGTCTGTCTGTCCGTCTGTCCGTCCGTCCGTCTGTCCGTATGTATGAACGCAAGGATCTCAGGACCTATAAGAGCTAGAGACTTGAAATTTTGGCTGTAGGTCCTCCTAGTGTCCGCGCAAGTTTGTTTCCGATATTCGATAACTTGCCACGTTTCCAAGTAATCGATAATTTTGGTAAATAATAGGAGGTAGAGTCACCAAACTTAACATGTAGCTTCTAGAATAGTATATATATATCAAGTACCTTTCATTTTATAGCTATCGCCTGTTGGAAGAAGAGGGTTCAGGGTATCCCCTAGTCGGGAGCTCCCGACTAGAACCTCTTACTTGTTTTTTTTACCAGTCATGCGGCACACTTTCAGAGCCATCGCACAGTGGAACGACATCAACAATGTCATTAAGATTAAACTGAAAGCAAGTCATAATCTTTAATTGTGGCTTTAATAAGTTATATAAAAAAAAAATACAAACTGGCGACTTTCTCGATGAAACTAATTAAATGCGCCGGAGTCGGCCAGGTGTTTGACCCACTGTGCGCCGCTCCAAGTCTCAACAGAGCCAAAAAGAAATCCATATGGTAATCTGGTGTCTGAGTGGCAAACAACAACAAGAACTACGAATTTAAAGAAAACAAATACGAATTTTTAATTAATGACCAACGTTTTTTTTTAACGTATGTATGTAAACGAGTTTAACGCAGTGCACAGTGGTGCGAGGCGTGCAGAAAAGTCAGACGTTACGAGTAAATCATAAATAAATATAATAAATATATAAAATATAAGTTTAAGAAATTGTATAAACTATTTAAACAAACATTTGGTTATATACATTTTGTATTGATCTAAGTTTCATGTTTTTAATTGTTTTAATATTTGTTTTTAAATGTATTTGAATATAAAATATTGCAAAAAAATTCTTTACATATTTTGCTAATTATTTTTAAATTTGATTGATTTTACTTATTAATTCACTTTTATTCTATTTTTTTTGTAATTTTAAAATTTTATTTTATTTTTTATTTTATTATATTTTCTTACATAATAAATTTCAGCGTACAATTGACAATGCATGTCATATTTTGTACACTTTTTGGCAAAATTATTAATAGTTAATATCAGAAGCTCATTAAAACTTGCAGCTCACGTACTTGGCACGCTTTTAGGAAACTTTCAGCTGAAAGCTCAGTAGCGTTAAGCTTTACAAAACCAAACTTTCTTCACACGAGCTTTGCAAGCACCTTAAAGCTTGCAGCAGGATTAAATATTTAGATAAATAAATTCCCTCAATTAAATTAAATAAAAGAAAAAACAAAAATCAAATCAAAAGCATGTAAAAACATTTGTAAATAACATTAAAGCTTATGGCCAGACTTAAAGCAGATTCAAACAAAAATTCTAAGCAGACAGCAACTGAAAGCGCTCGCTCTACCAATTAGTTCCTTTTCTCTTTCGCACACACCCTCTCCATTGCTCTCTCTTTCGCTCTAGTGCTAACCTGTTTAGCTTTAACTAAAACTTAAAGTACTTTTCCAGAATAGTCATATAATTAGTCAACTGTCAATAATTCATGTTTTGTTTTCGGGACTTTTTTGTTGTTGTTGTACGCTTCCAAGTTATTCAAATTAATTGGATTTAAATAATGGTGGGTTAGTTTTTTATTTTTTTTTTTATTTTTGACAGCCGGAACCAGTGTGCTGTGGTGGATCGCAAATGGCGACGCGTGTTATGCTTGGGCTGATGATGTTGTAATCTTAAAACTGGCAGCGCAGCGCGTTGGCCAAATCAGTTTGACTTCGAGACCTGACAAAATGGCAATCAATTGGCTGCTGCTGCCGATGCTGCTCATGCTGCTGGGCACAACATTAATGGGCGGTGCGGAGGCGCGTGCATCGCAGGGCATGCATGTGCAGCTGCCGCATGGCGGCTGGCTGGTTGGACGCCATAGGACCACGCACAGTGGTCGACATATGCGCGCGTTTATGGGCATACCTTATGCACTGCCGCCGCTGGGCGATCTGCGCTTTCGTCCGCCAGTGGAGCAGCCGGCATGGCAGGGCGAGCGATTGGCTGTGAAGGATGCGCCCGTGTGCATGCAGCGTGATCCGTTTCGGCGTGACATGACCATCGAGGGCTCCGAGGATTGCCTGTATCTGAACGTCTATACACCGGATCCGGTGGCAGCTGAGCCGTTGCCCGTGATGGTCTGGTTCCATGGCGGTGGCTGGCAATGCGGCTCGGGCATCAGCAGCTTCTACGGTCCCGACTTTCTGCTCGAGCATGACATTGTGCTGGTCTCCGCCAATTTCCGGCTCGGTGCGCTCGGTTTTCTTAGCACCGAAACGCTCGATTGTCCTGGCAACAACGGGCTGAAGGATCAGCTACAGGTGCTGCGCTGGGTGCACGCCAATATAGCCGCCTTTGGCGGTGATCCGAACAGCGTGACGGTGTTTGGTGAGAGCGCCGGAGGCGCTAGTGTCACCTATCATATGCTCGCCGAGAAATCGCGCGGTCTGCTGCATCGCGCCATTGCACAGTCGGGCACCTATTTTAATCCCTGGGCGCAGCCGGCACATGACGGCGTGGCCGCACAGCGTGCGCTCAAGCTGAGCGAGCTGCTGAATTGCAGCGATGCGGGCAACGATTGGTCGGCCAAGTTGAAGTGTTTGCGCGACAAGCCAGCTGAGGACATTGTGGCCAAGCTATACGATATGTTTGTAAGTGTGTGTGTGATTGTGTGTGAGCGAGTCGGCGTATAAAACGATTCTTTTATGCTCTTGGCAGGTGTGGGATTTCGATCCCATGATACCCTTTCCGCCCGTCATTGAACCGGAGCATGAAGGTGCTTTTCTAACGCTGCGACCGCGTGAGGCGCAGGCCCCTCACGGCCAGGCGCTGCCCCTGATGATAGGCGTGACCGCTGAGGAGGGGCTGCTGAAGACGGCGGCGCTGCTGAATTTGCCACATTTGATGGATGAGTTCAAATCGTATTTTGAGCACCTGCTGCCCGTTGTGCTAAATTATGATCATCATGACGCTGAGACACAGCAGCAGATAACTCGGCACATCGAGAGTTTCTACTTTAAGTCGGGTCACAACTACAACAAGTCCAATCATCAAAACCTGACCGATGTATGCGAATCCTGCAAAAGCATTTTATGAGTAAATTATATATATGTATGTATATGTTATGCTTGCAGCTGATCTCCGATGGCTGGTTTGTGGCTGGAGTCGATGAGTATCTACAGCTGCGCCTGGACGAGCAGCAGCCTGCATTGGCGCCCACCTATGTCTATCTATTTGATCATAAGGGCGCCGCCAGTTTCTCAGAGATATTCAAGGGAGCGCACAATGAGTTCTATGGCGCTTGCCATGCGGAGGAGCTGCAATATCTGTTTCCCATTGGCCAGCAACTGTTCGTTAGCGCCGTGCCAACACGCCAGGATCTGGAGCTACGCGATCTAATGCTGCGGCTTTGGGTTAACTTTGCGCGTACCGGGTAAGAATTGATGTTGAAATTTGCTTGAGACTAATAAAAGAAAGTATATTTCTGTTAGTGATCCGAATCCTGTCATTGGCACGAGCAACTTACCCACATGGCGGCCCACATCCTCATATCCGGTGGAGTACGCGCGCCTTGGCTCCAAGCTGGATGCGATGGATGATGGGACGTTCCCGCCGCTGCTGCGCATGGAGAAAGCGCTGCTGCAGCATCGTGTTGACTTCTGGCGCGAGCTTAAAGCACATTTGCCGGTCAGTCGGCGCGTACAACAGCACAATGAGCTTTAATTGTTGTTGTTGTTGCTTTTTTTTTTCTTCTTTTTTAGATTTTACAATGTATTTACATAACTTTCAACATTTTGTTAGAAAAAAAAAAGAAACAAAAACAAATATAAACATAGCAAGTTGCCAGATCTCGCCAAATATTAGAAACAGCAGCGTTGCCACCCAAAAACACATGCACAACATACATAGAAAAGTAAGAAAATTGAAAGAAAATAATCCCTCTCAGCTGTTTAGAAAGTATGACATTTGCCAAATCACTAGAAGCAAAGTAAAATAATATAGTGCGTACAAAATGCTTGAACCATGCACATTTTAATCAATCTGGGCGTCGCATTGTCTGCACTTCAATTTACATATGTTTTGTGTGTGCGCTAAATGCTTTGCAGGTGAAACCATCTGGCAACCCCCAACGAAAAACGTAGTTTCATTTTTTTTTTCAAGCTGGCCGACATTGACATACGCATACGGACAAAATAAATACACATATACACGCAGTTCGACAGTTTTGTTTTATTTTTTATATACATATATATATTTATATATATATATATATGTATATATATATATACATATATATATATATACACATATACACACTTTATATACATATATATATAAATAAACACTTTGCAACTTTATGCCACACGCTCGCAAATACCAACGTGGTGTTTTCGCTTAACTTGACCTCGAGCTGCAATTGTTCGCGTCGCAACAAAAGTGGACGACAAATGGCTGGCTCGGCGCTGCGTCGCCTGATGGCGGAGTACAAACGTAAGTGCGCGGGTGGCTGCTTGAAGGCACGGAAAAGAAGAGTGGAGAGTTTGCAGAAGGGATGTGGTGGTGTTGTTGTTGATTCAGTAGGGGGCGGGGATAGGGACAGGGACGGGGACGTGCTTGTACCCAATGATCCCCGTTATTATTCGGGTTTTCTGTTCAAATTCCAGAATTAACAATGGATCCGCCAGAGGGCATTGCCGCTGGACCCATCAGTGAGGACAATTTCTTTGAATGGGAGGCGCTGATTGCGTGAGTTAATGTCATAACAATTCCATCATAAATGATATTAATATATTTGTGTATGTTATCTACTTTATAGCGGACCCGAGGGCACCTGCTTTGAGGGCGGCGTTTTTCCAGCTCGTCTAGTTTTTCCACCCGACTACCCATTAAGTCCACCAAAAATGAAATTCACTTGTGATATGTTTCATCCAAACATTTTTGCCGATGGCCGCGTTTGCATATCAATACTACACGCCCCCGGCGACGATCCCATGGGCTATGAATTGTCGGCCGAACGTTGGAGTCCAGTGCAGAGTGTCGAAAAGATTCTATTGAGTGTGGTCAGCATGTTGGCGGGTAAATGTGGCTAAATAAGAGCCTAATCAATAACCTTCGCCAGCTCACTTAATCTAATGCAATTTCTCACATTTATGCAGAGCCCAATGATGAGAGTGGCGCCAATGTGGATGCAGCGATTATGTGGCGGGAGAGGAGGGACGAATTCAATCGCATCGCACAGCGATTAGTGCGCAAAACACTCGGTTTGTCAGCATAAAACCTTGACTGAAGTGACTGGACAGACCCCGGATTCACATTATCAGAGCCGTCACTCGTGTAAGAGCAGCCCCACGAGCCCCACAAATCCTACTATACTTTATCACAATCTTGAAAGGAATCGAAACAAAAACTGAATGCAAATCCATAATTCCTCCCATGTATATGTGTGTGTCTGTCTGTACGTGCGTGCGTGCGTGCGTGTGTGTGTAGGTGCGTTAGTGCTCTTGTATGTATGTACATTTTCAAAATTTAGGAGATCAACATAAAAAAAAACTAAAATGAAACGAAAAAAAAAGAATACGAAAAAAATTCGATGCTATCAAAAAAAATACCAAAACATTGTCCAATTGATATTTGAAAACCTGAAATCTTTAATTTGTAGTCGAAAACAATGCGATCGCAATTAATACCTATGTAACACCTATGTCATTTAATTTCAATTCAACGTTTATTATCATTTTCAACATCAGCAAGTTTAAGAATAACAATAACTGAAGAAGAAAAACACAATTTTGTTTAAGCATACAAAAATAAAATAAACTAAGTTGAACAGCTACGTGAGACATCAGTGCAATACTCAACAGAAGGACTTTTTGGTCACGGCCCGAGCGTTTCGAACTGTTTATCGATTCGCTGATGTCCTGATGCACAATTGTGAACAGTATAGACTAAGCAATGCATGTATAATACGTATGTAAATTGATTTTAAAAGCCCTATATTTCGTTTGGAGTAGTGACCAATTAAAAATTGTATGGTGGATGACAGTATTTATTGTACTCACTTCTTCTAAGTGCTGCTAAAGACAATGATAAAGTCGCGTATTTTGTTTGATCTAACCCAAATATATGCATATTTAATGCTGCAACTTAGTCTTAAAAAGAAATTACCTCAAGCTGACAATTATCTTTCTTAATATATAGGGTCTAAAAATTCACAATGGTGACGCATGGGCCAGGAGCAAATGCTGTCAGAATTTAAGCATCAGCGCGTCAGACAGGGCTGCCAGATGGTTTTGACTGCAACAGCTGCGTTTCTGTAATCAGTTAGAGTAGCCATCTAGAATTATGCGCTTGCATAAACTGGTCACACTGTAAGACGTATTTTCAGTTATTGTTTTTGCTTTTGGGTTGAAACACGCAGCGTGCTGCGTTCGTGCGTAACGTTCAAAGCGGCTTGTTTTCTTTTTTTGTTGTTGTTACATAGCACGCCGAAAAAGAAAAGAAAAAATAACAAATACTTAAAGGTATGTTAATGAAAAGGGGACCACTTACAGAACCCAAGTACCCAAGTGCTAATATGAAATATATATAACATTAACGGAGCTGTCTCTGCAAACGGTGTGTTAAGCGACGACATTGACCCAAACAAGCTTTTAATCAAAAAAAAAATAAACTAAATTGTGTGTGCGCGCACGGACTGATAAAAAATAAGCGCAAAGTGAAAATGGTACTAAATAAATAGCGTACCGCATTAAGTGGGGAAACATGACGCATGTTGCTGCCGCATTGACACACACCAGGTGTGTGTGTGTGTGTCTGGTGCGGGGGCAACTTAAGTGAGCGAGTGCCGTGCAATATGTTGTTTTTATTTCGTATGCCCGCAGCAGCATTACATGAATTTACCGCAGGCGAATTAGTTGTGCGACTTTTTGTTTTTTGTTTTTTTTTTTTTTAATAACACCTTTATTTCATCAGTTTTAAACAACACACAGACGCAAACACACACATAGAGGACGAGAGAGAGACGTGAGATAAAGTGGGCATGCCAACGCAGCTCAATGTCCAATCAGAGTCGTTGCAGAGTTGCCAGGCCGCAAATGCATTTTCGTCTAAGCACTCCCCGTTAAACATTGTGTAATGTTTGCTCTTTTCCCTCTACCGACAATTAGTGCAAGATTTATCATTGTTACTAACTGTACAAGTCGCATGGCTTAACCAGCTGACCATACGGCACACGCACACACAAACACTCACACAGGTAAACGAACGGCAGCCAAAGCAGCCTCGTCTGGCTGCATAAAATTTCATAAACAAAACGGAAAACGCTGTAAGCCAATCAACATATTCAAAGAAATTCAAAATTCAGGCCAGTAGATGGTTTATTTATATGCCATTGTAAAAAGCACTCGATATGCAAAGTATATTCAATTATTTGAAGTTCGGTTACGGCGAATGTCGCAACTTCCCCTCCCCATTACCATCAAGATGATCGCGTTGAGAATTTTTTTTTTTTAGGTATTGTTAACAGTTGTTGCGCTCCCATAAAGCTTAGCAGCAAATTGCTTATTGTAAATAATACCACAGTGAAGGGTTTATATATATATGTGTGTGTGTGTGTGAGTGTATGTTATACATCAGTTATTGAACATAGCGCGCGTGACGTCATTGCTCAAATAAAAATTAGCTTGGATTTGGCTATGTAAATGTTTTAAAAACAATTATATATGCGATACGGCAACACTGGCTGACAGTTCGCAGCGGGTTACCAAAACTAAATATTTGCAATGTTTAATTATGCTACGATGACATTGTAAATTCTTTTTGAGATATATGGCAGCACTCGTTTACAGTATTTACCCAATAGAAATTAGCCCCCGGGCAAAAGGCAAATGTCATACCCGCATAAACATACCATAACATACCAACTCTAACCAAAATTTGTTCTTCCTTCTCATTCCCGCTTCAGATTGGGCAAGGTTAAAAACAAAATGCTTTCGCTGCAGAATCAACGTCAACCGAAGACAACACCTTTGGTGGACGACTATGAGATATCGGACACTGTCCTGGGCCTGGGCATTAATGGCAAAGTGGTGCAGTGCACCAATCGGCGCACCAAACAGAACTATGCATTGAAAGTGCTCCTGGACAATGAGAAGGCGCGACGAGAGGTCGACCTGCACTGGCGGGCCAGCGGCTGCAAGCACATTGTCAACATCATCGATGTCTACGAGAACACCTACAGCGGTCGCAAATGCCTGCTGGTGGTAATGGAATGGTGCGTCTTAACACAAAGTGCTTTTAAGCCATTCGAATTGCTAGGCTACCTACTTATCACCAAGTGGACTCCAATTAGAATCTTATTAACCCATTTCACGCAGCCGACTCAAAATGGCGACCCCGAACACTTATTCATTAACGCGACTTTCACACGCAAATCAATTGTGATTAGTGGGTTGCCACCCCGTTTTTAGCTCTGTGCAGTTAATCTTCATTTTATAGTCAATCATTTCATAAGTGCCGTCCATTAAGCTATCCCATATTACCCGGCTTTGCTCGAGCCATGTTTATCTTTGTTTGTTTTGCATTCGAGTGAGCTTGAACCTGAGTTCATTATCCACCCAGAACGGGTCCGAAAAATGTGAAACAATTATAATATTTTCCGATAGATCTCTAAATAAAGTATATAATTGATCCATCTGTATGAGAAATTTAATAGAAAATGTAACTACTGCAAATGGAATGCAGCTTCCTACCTTTTACGGCTTGAGCTGTGCGCTTATCACCAATCACTTACTCATCACAAACAGTGAATATATATGAATATACATTATTCGGGCTGCTGGTAAACGAGAAACAATTGCACATGTCAGATCAGAGCTAGGTATAAAAATGTACTAAGTGAAACAGTTATTACAAATATACTAATGAAACGTTCTTACGAGGATCCATACGGCTATCTAATGGGCTTTCAATAGGTATATGTATATATGATATATTTCTCTTATTTCCAAACTTCATGTAGGTACTTGAATGCGTTGGTTAAAGTCCAACTCTTCCTCTCATGCTTTCCCATGGATAGCTTGAATTTACATTTTTGCTTTGTGCGGCATTCGTAAACGTTTTTACTGGCATCGCAACTTTTGAGGCACCAAAAGCTAGTCCCAATTAGATTCCAATTACTAAGAGCTAAAAATTGACTTTAATGAGCCTCTAAAGAGTTGTACACTCATTTTATTACACGCCTTCTGCTTTGCGCAGCATGCGTAGACTATTTCCAGGCAGTGCAGTCAACAAATAAGATTTTCTATAAAATACAACCCATGACTAGGCCTGCCTGAGATTGCTTTCAGTCGTTATTCACGCAATGCCTTTCCTATTTGCAGCATGGAGGGGGGTGAGCTGTTCCAGCGCATACAGGACAAGGCGGACAGCTCGTTTACGGAACGCGAGGCGGCGCATATAATGCGCGAGATATGTGAGGCCATTTACTATCTGCATAGTCGGGATATTGCCCATCGGGATCTCAAGCCGGAGAACTTGCTCTATACGACAACGCAGCCAAATGCGATACTGAAGCTCACCGATTTTGGTTTCGCCAAGGAGACCTTCACCAATGACACTCTACAGACGCCCTGCTATACGCCGTACTATGTCGGTCAGTTGCCTCGAAGCTAAAAATAGCCAACGAATTGCATATATTGATTGATTGTTATTGCATTTCAGCGCCGGAGGTGCTTGGCCCCCAAAAGTATGACAAGAGCTGTGACATCTGGTCGCTGGGCGTGGTCATGTATATTATAATGTGCGGCTTTCCGCCGTTCTATAGCATCAACGGTCTATCCATATCGCCGGGCATGAAGAAGCGAATACGCAACGGTCAATATGATTTTCCCGATCCGGAATGGACGCACGTCAGTCAGGCGGCCAAGGATTTAATCAAGGGCATGCTCAATGTGGATCCCAGCAAGCGTTTGCGCATCGAGGATGTGTTGCGCAACAAATGGATAGCACAATATGATGCCGTGCCCCAAACGCCCCTCTGCACCGGGCGCATACTAAAAGAGGGCGAAGAAACCTGGCCGGAGGTGCAGGAGGAAATGACACGCTCGCTGGCCACCATGCGTGTCGACTACGATCAAGTAAATTGAGATACAAAGCACTCAAAAAATTCTTGCATACAATTTATAATCGCCTATCCAATCTGTTGCAGATGCAAATTAAAGCACTGGACAAGTCCAACAATCCGCTGCTGACGAAGCGCAGGAAAAAGATTGAGGAGATTTATGCGGATCATAGCAAATAGATTGCGGCCGCTAGCGAAGCCACAAAAACAACAACCAAGTTTTAAAGGACAAACGCCAAACCTTCCTCCCTATATAAAAGAAAAGATACAATATGTATAATAAGATGTGCCCTATTATCGGGCTGATCTTATTATATTATATTTTATCGCCTAATACTTAAGAGTTGTACAATGCTATAGGACACGACAAAAGTTTTACAACTTATATATATACATAAAACAGGGATGGAAGCCCCCTCCCCCACCAGCCCCTTACCATTATCCGCGCACTTTTTGACTATGTTACATTATTTTTTGTTTGTCTTTATGTGCATTATTCATATCCTGTATATGTATATGTATTGTATATCCATTTCCAGTAAAGGTTTTAAGGGTATTTTTAGTGTGAGAAAAGTGCTCTTTCAAATTGAAATATAACTTATATAGAAGCGACATAACAGATAACCTACGCATATACATACTATACCATATATATAACTATATATAATCATATATTATTATATATATGTATATAACTTGTCGCTAGCTACAGCCCCGACTATAACAACCTGAATTTTATTGAGTTAATATTTGTTTTATAATTTAATTATTTTTGTGACTTGTGTTCTTGTGAATTTTTGTATTGCATACGAAATGAATGACAAAAATCATGTTTATAATTTAATTTTTAATTATAAAAGAAATGTGCATGTATGTCCCAACCAGATGTCAGTTAACTTAAGCATTAGCCCCGCTCCAGTTGACATGTCGAACGCGTCTACGTTTATCATCTTGTGCTGATCACAGCTCTATGCAAGCTATACAATTTATCATATAAATAAAGTATTTGTAGTTTATAAAATCGAGAAACAAAAACTGTTTGGTTTTTTAATTTATGATGGCTAGGCAAATGAGTCGAAGCTGCTGCTGGAAATACCAATCTTTGTTGAACCGGAAATGTATTACTCGACTGGAATTTCCCGTCCCATCACGTGCTACACGAATGAAATGGCATATTTATCTAGGGGAAATCACATTTTGTACATTGCATACATATTACAGATTGGCTTATCAGCGGCATGGAAAATGTAATGTTATTTTCGATCTACCAGCAAATTAAACTATCTTAAACTGTCGAATCCGGCTGTTGCTGAGTCAGGTATATGCCTGCTATAATTAGTGCATTTAGATTTAGGTTCAATTTTACACTGGATTCCAACTTTATCTTAAGACAAAACCGCTTTGTCTTATCGAATATATATTTTCAGAAAAAGTACATTTATTTCAGTTAAACCTTCCTATGCCCAATAGTATATAGTATAATAGCTGCTTTATATAACTAAATATAAAAAGATGTCGTACCTCTGCTATATATCGAAATTTCAGTCAATTCTATCTTTCTATTTTCAATCTTTGGTACAGCTTAAAAAACTGTTTCGTAGAATAGCCATATTAAAGATAATTCTTGATTCTCTCGTTTTCAGAAAGTAGTTATTCCATGTTTTCTAAAAACTGATAGCTCGATTGTCTAGATAAAACTTATCTTGATCTTATTATATGGGTATATGCTTTAAAGCTTAATAGATCTTAGTGATCTGTCAGACATTAAAATAGCTTTTCGAATCATAAAAACCTTCAAAATCCAGAGCTAGTAAGTTTTAAAAGAAATCATAAATCCCATGTCATGTACATGCTAGAAAGAGATGGCTGTAGATGCGCGCTCTTTCTTGCTTGTGCATAATGTGGGTCGAGCCCCCAACCTCTGGCAACCCATTATAGTAAACATGATGTGGACTTTTTCATTTATTGACGTATGTATATAATCTATAACAGTGCAGTTCGACACACACGCACACACTCACGCACACACGCACAAGGATCATGTCCTTAGGATTGCATTCGGTTCATTGCAGGAGCAAGAGTCGCAGGAAGGAGTGGAAGTAGGCATTTTTAGCTAATTTATATCCCTCAGTTCTTCCCAAGACTCTAATACACACACACGCAGGCACACACACACACATATATATATATCTATATATTAAAGCATAATTAAAAAAAAAATGATTACAGAAAAATATAAAAATTATAAACAAAAACATAAGCAATAACAACATATTACGCATGCAAAATGCACACATAATATAGTTATATATAGCTATATATATGCATATACATATTTACAGATCGTGCATATGTATATGTACATATATAATCATATACAGTAATCGGTATATTTTCTACATTCCTACAACAATAGTTAACAATTTTTGTTTCTTCACATGAAGTTTGTTGTTGAGTTTTAGCTGAATTTTTGCATTGTTGTTGTTGTTGGTGTTTGTTGGTGCTATTCTCTAATCAGGCTACAGATTGTGCAGTATATATCTATACATATATTGACCCTATTAATAGCATAGCCTAGGCATATACATACATGTACATACATAATAGTATTTGCGTAACGTTTGTAGTTTTAACATTTCTTTTGGTTTTTCATTTAGAAAAATACACGAGCTATATACATATATATATATTATACATTAATATAAATATATATCTATACATATATATAGTTATGGGGCGTGTTTGCTGTATTTGTGCTTAAAAATATACTATATTTTATATAGATATATTTTTATGGCAGATTTGCGAGATTCAGCCAGGCTTTAAATATTTCTGCTGCTTCAATTCCAATTTGTTTTTTGAACTTTAGATTCTGTTAAGCTTAGTGCTATGTGTGTGTGTGCGTATGTGTGTCTGTGGATGTGTGGCTGGGTGGGTGATTGTTTCCAGGGATGCGTTTGTTTGCGTGTGTGTGTGTGTTTTGTAAACTGAAGGTACATCATTATTTCGTTTGCTTTTCTTGCACATTCCATTCACTTTCCTTCTCTTCTGGCGTTTCATCTTGTTTAACAAATGGCACACGCCTTGGTGGGCGTGGCCCCTTTGGAGTCGACTTTGAACAAATCCAAAACTCGGCAGCTGGATTGCCTAAATAAAACTATCGCAGCTGTTCTCCGTCTCGCTATTGGAGCAATCCATGGCCGGCAGTGAGCCGCCACGCCTATACGCCCACTGGCGCTGATAGGCATCCTCCGCATAGTTCTGCTGTTGACGCACCGCAGCCGCCCTCTCAGTCTCACAGCTGCTGCTGCTGTTGCTGCTGCTGCTCCCGCTGCTGCTGATGGCGCTGCTTATGGTGATGGGCATATGGCTGCTCCGGCGATTCGTTGTGCTTGGCGGAGCCGGAGCAGCGATATTCAGTCGCGGAAAATATTTGTACAGCTCCAGCAGATTGTTGAGCTTTATATGCGGCTTGTATTCCACATCGTCCAGGCACTGCGAGGCGCTGCTGCTGCTGTTCAGCGGCATCCAGAACGTCAGACCCAGCTGGGCGAGGTGGCCGCCCTGCAAGCAAAGCGAACCCAATCAGTTAAGGACTTTACCAAAATCGAATGTAATAATAACAAATCCTTGCACAGGGATAAATATCAACAGTCGACTCGCAGATCAATTTTCTTTTTATAAATCGATAAATATCCATGAAATCGATAAGATTCGATATCGAAATAATGTTTTTGAGCATAACTCAAAGCTTTAGAGGGCTAGAGACACCGAATTTGGAATGTACACACAGATCCACAACATTTCATTTACCGCCCCGCCCCATTTCCTTTGAAATGATTAAAAAAAAGTACTTGGGCTTAGGTATTTGCACACAATTGGATGCCATGCTTATGCCCTGAAAAGTGCATAAGGATCGGACTATAAGCACCGAAGTTATTCAAGAACGTATTTCCCAAAGGAAGAGTGTGTCTTTGCGGTATGTCTGACTAATGTGAAGCCGGAATGTTGGTTCTGGGTATCGGCCGTGTGATTATTAAGCTTATCAGCACACACTTACCTTGATATCCGTCTCAAGTTTATCGCCAATCATGGCGCACTGCTGCGGTTTGACGCGTAGAAAATTGCACGCCGCATAGAATATCTCCCGATGCGGCTTCTCCCACGGCAGATCCGAGGAGACGAGCACACAGTCGAAATAGCCGCGCACGTGCAGCTTGGCGACCTTCTCCCACTGTGCGTTCGACGGGCCGTTTGTGATGAGCGCCAGGACATAGCCGGCGCGTCGCATACGCTGCAACAGCTGCACATAGTCCGGCGGCACGGCCAAATAACGGTAGCGCAGCTTGAGCCACTGCGGATAGATTTGCTCGGCGAGATGCTTGTACTTCTGCTGCAGAGATTCGCGCCACAGATGCGTCCGCCACGAGTCCAGCGAGGTCTGCGAGTTGTCTGGACAGCGACGAAACGACTTTAAAAAGTTCTGTGTGGCCAGGTTGGCATCGTCTTTGGTAAAGCTATACTGCGTTTCCAGCACGTCGGCAAGCTGTCAAAAAAAAATACATTTTCCAACAAGATAAAATAAGGGCTGAACAAAGTTCTTGATATAAACAATCCGGGAGTGCCCGACTAGACGCTACCCTAAGCCCGTCGTCGAGCTACCGTTACAAACATTCCCATTTCCTTCTATACATCTCTTACGTTACATCGGTGTTTATTGTCCGATCTTTATCAAAATTATAAAAAAATAAAAAAAACCGTGTGTATACACCGAATCGAAAGGTTTTATATGTATTTGAAAGTGAGTTTTCCGCAGTTTTTGATGGAGTGGGGATAATCTGTTTATACACCCTTAATGATGTACCTAGCTCTTATAATCTACGAAAAATCATGTCTCAAAATTGATATTTATTGATATTATGAAAATTGAAGAATATATCGAAAATACAATAGCCGCGCTCATATAGAAGGGCAAACAGATCGACCCAGCTTGTCGACCTAATCAAGAATATCTATTTATATATTAAGAGAGGGTCGGAAATGTTTCCTTCTGCCTGTCACATACAATTACGCAAGTGCATAATGCAGGCTATAAAAAGTTGCGAAATAAACCACATATGTATGTATGTTCATATAACGGTTATTAGTCATGAACGGGACTTGCGAAAGAGACGACACAGTCATGCGCTTATGACACCTGTTAGCTAAATGTTGCACTCATATAAGATAATTGCATAAGCTAGAACGAGACGGACGTAGTGTAAGGGCTGCTTGGATTTCGTATGACGCGTGGGAGACATGAATTTGCAAGTTCTTATGCGACTAATTATTCTAAACCAAGATTAGAATTATAAATAAATATAAATATGCACACAGGTGTAGAAATAAATCAATAAATCATTGCAATTAGCAAAGAAGTAGCTCATATTCTGCGTCATATATAAGATTTAAAATTATTATTGTAGGAAACTACTCAAACTCCGATAAATTATTATATTCGACCAATTTTTATATTTGAATTTAGATAATTTCTTTCTTTAACGTGTCCCTAGGCATATTTATAGGAGTAAATGTATGTCCCGTTATCAACTGGTATTACCAATATGTATGTACATATGTATGTATGTAAACAACTCTCCAGACTTGTTTAATGCGAAAATTTCGCAGACAACAACTGATGATAAAGAAATGAATTATTCATCGAATACAATTTATGCACATAGAACACATTTCTTTGTTTAAAACGCAAATAAGGTGTGTTCAGTCATTAATCATTTAGGTATGCATTAATACAGCTGCTTCCTGCATGACGAAACAGGCTTACATATTTATAACTCCTGAACTTAAGCTTCCGCTCGAAAGCCGCGCATCTTTAGAATGGTTAAAAAACGAAAAACAAAATAAGTAAACTGCGCACCAAATAAATTAAAAAAAAAAAACAAAAAATACACTAATTTAATTTTCCATTTGCACGTAATCTCACTGATCTTCGTTTAACGGTAAATGTCAAACTAACAAGTGTCATTCGGGCATTATAGATGTGCGGGCATTTATTTTTGGTCTCTTATGACTTTGACCTCTAGTCAGAGAAAGACGACATGCATTGATCAAACATGAATGCACACGCACGCACACACAAACATATATATATACACACACGCACACACACAGTCAGAAGCGCGCGCGTGCTATTTGCCTACGCGCTCACTAATACATGCACACACACAAATGTACGTAACGAGCGGCTGCAGTGGAAAATTTTTGTAAATATCTATGTAAACATGTGTGCGTGTGTGTGAGTGTGTGTTTTTGGAGTGTTTGCATGGTTAGCATGACACACAGACCGCGCGAACTTTCACCCGCGAAGTTAACTTACCTTGCGTATTGCTTTGGAGTCACCGGCCCGCGTTGGGATAAGCGTGTTATCTAAGTCAAAATAGAACGCTGAGATTTTCGCACAAATGCCATCGAATGGTGTTGTGTGCTTAAGGCTCGTTGTTAACGTTGCTGTTGAAAGTTTGCTAGCGGCCATGAGTTATTGCCACGCACTGTTGTTGGAGCTCTCGACGCTTATGGGGGGATTCTATGGGACCAGGGGGTGGCAGCACATATATCATAAGAGCGTTATTCAAAAATATTGCGTATATTTATAAATTCTATTTAAAATTTTGGCGCCACTATTAGTAAATAGAAATTGTCTCTGCGAGGTAGTTGCACACGTTATGTTAGTTTAACAGCAACTAAATTGAAAACAAACGTTGTACTAAAGTTAAATAAGGGAACAGGTAAATGTAACCAAAGTAAGAGCGAAGCAATGACTGAAAGAAAGTGCACGCACGCACGATTCCATAGTCAGGCGCGTAAGTAAACGGACAGCATTTTAGGTTTTAGTCGCAACAGCTGGTTTCAATATTTATTTTACCAAACGTTTTGAGTGCGTAGCTGTCTTTTATTTATTATCTCGGACTCTTGCTGTTAATACTGTTTTTTATAATTAAATATTAAGAATTTGTTAGAGTTACGCAGCTTTTACACAGGCACTGTAAGTTGAGTAGCGAGAGAGGTCAGGTCGCGCGCCAATGGGCCAGAGCGAGCACGCAATACTCGCGGAGAAGAGCACATGTACATATAGTTTGTATAATTACAGTAAAACAAAGGATCATTGGCTAGATAATATTTATAGCAAAAATTAGTTAAGTAAAATTGAAAGCTTTAGCTGCAAAATAATGTTTTTAGTAAATAAAATTTATTATTAAGTTTTATAATTTCATTTTGCAGCACTGCAGCTAACTACTGTGTGCAGTAATGTGTTTTTTTAGTTGTCGATATATCGCAACAGAATCGATATATTATTTTGTTAGAGTGGCAACGCTGTTTGTTATTGTCGACCAATTTTGTTTACCAATTTGTGCAATTGATTGTAAGAAATATTTGAAAATACTGACAGAGAATTTTAGTAATATGAGTACATTGGAAACCAATATCGAAATGTTATCGTCAGGTGGGCTATATAACTCTGATATTAAACAGACTGCTGATTTATGTAATATATTAAAGCTGAAATCACCCCGAAGAAGAGCGGCGACGCCAAAGAAAGCGCCAAACTGGAAGAATTAATTTCGCTGGAAACATTGCGTGAATCGCCTGTGCAGTGGCCAGAACGCTGTAAGTACCACACATCCACACAAAATGCAAATTATATATACGACTTACGCTACTTAGTTCCCGGCATGGAGGAGTTCCTGACCATGAGCGAAACACCCATACACACACCAACCGCTGACTCTGCACAGATATTGTCCAGCAATAATATGGCCTCCATTAATCGTGAGTATACCTGACAGCCTGTTTGAAAGAGCTAAAACGAAATATTGTAACCATTACAGAGTTTGCCCGCCTGCCGCCGGAACAGCTGGTCGAGAAAATTAAAGAGATGCATGACCAAATATATAAACTAGGCCTGCGTGAGTCTAAGGAAATGACGCGCGGCAAATTGTTGGGCATCTTTGATCGCGATCGTTTAACTCGGGCGAAAGCTATGCGCAATTAATTGTATGGAAAAGCTGCGATTTCTGATTTCGCATTAATTATTTATAGTTGTATTTGATTGTATTTATATATATATATATATATATAACATAATCACATAGATATATGTTTGCGTGTGGCTATCAATTAAATGCCCAATACCACAATTTGTAAAATTATGTTCGTGAGCTATGCTGTTATGCTAGTCAACAATAAATAACATTTATTTCCAATAAAGCCTCATTATGGCATACATATATGTATATATATCTTCTGTATAGTCTACATGTAAACAAAAAGAAATAGGTTTAAGGTTAGCATTTGGTACCAGGAGCTCTAGTTGAGCTTGACATTGATCATGGTGACGGTTCTGTGAAAAGAAGAGAGTGAGGAAAGGCACAGTATATAAATTCCGCTATGCATAACCCAACAACTAACTCTGTTGTGTGTGAGAGTGTGTGTATGGTGTGAGTGTTAGGTGCAGGTACCGTGTAGTATCTATATATATGTATATATATCATCATCAAGATGTGTCTAAACTTCAAACTCACATTTACAGCATATGGACATTATTGCGAGACGAGCAAAAAAAGGAGTGTCTTGTTTTTTCACACAAACACTCACTAATACATTTACATATACGAATACTCATGCATAGACATACATATATATTATTTGAATTTAAATCGGAGTACACATATTCACGGTTGTCTTATGAAAAAAAAAAACCACAAAAAATTCACAAACGCGATTATTTTGTTTAAATGTGCAATATGTTTGAATAGTAATGCGCAGGCTTCATATTTTTTTTATTTAATAAATAAGCTAAAAACCTAACCTAACCTTAAAAAAAAAAACATAACCTAAAAAAAGCAATAAATACAATCAAATAAATAAAAAGAAACAGAGGAAAATTGCACTAATAATGTGCTATTCTTGTTATATTAGCATAGAATTTGGCAACCGTGCGCCTGACCCATAGACCAGCCCAATAGCTCCAAGGTCAAGCTGCAGCTACATTTATTCCTGCCACTGCATGGCAAAGCGCTGCTCGAACGTGATGCGATTGTAGACACCCACATCGGCCAGCTGCATGGGATCGGTGTGGTAAGCAAAGCGCCGTATGTCAATCATGGCGCCATCGAACATCTCCTTCCATGTGGTCAAATCCGTGACGCTCATGTGTATGGGCATCTGGGGATCGGGTACATCGATGGCCGCCTGCAGACGATCAAAGGCCTCGGCAACGGGACCAACGGACAGATTCACCCAATATTCGGCCGGAAAGCGTTTATTCTCACAAAATGGCGCACCCTTGCGCATGATGAACACCAGCATGAGTATCTCGTAGCGTTCGGAGCTCTCATAGAAGCGCTTGGTGCGTGTCTTCTCCACAAAATCGATTAGCAATATGAGCGGCGTATAGTTCTGTAGATGCATGAGCAGCTCCCGATCTGTCCAGAGATAGCGACCGCCAGCGCCGCTCTTGACATTCAACATGCTCATATTGCTGGCCAACTGATGCTGCTGATGATGATGGAACTGCTGCTGCTGCTGGTGCTGATGTTGCTGCTGCTGATGATGCTGCTGATGATGCTGCTGATGCTGATGCTGATGATGGGTGGTCCCAGTTCCGGTATTTGGACCGGAGACACCAGCGGCGACGGCAGCAGTGCTGCCAGTTGCAGACGAAGTGCTCGGAGTGGGCATGCCAGCGAGAATGCCGATACCGCCAGTTTGTCTGAGACAGCCAATCTCCTCAACCATGTGCCGCAGCTGCAAGCAGCCAAATGCAATTAACCCTTAAGTGGCTGTTGCTGTGCGCAGGGCCAACTAGGCCAAGGTCAGTCGCTGGGCCAGCGGCTGTGGGTGGGCGTGCTGTCTGGGTCCTGTGCAGCACCCAACTTGTTGCAAATTGCACGCCTCTCAATTGATTAGTTAACTTCTTACCGATTTGTTTTTGTCTATTTGATTTTTCTGTTGTCTTTTTTTTTCTGAATTGATTGTTTAAACCAATGCAAATGTAAATGCACAAACCGAGGCCAAGTCGACAGGAGCAGCGCTCCTTGCTGCACGTGCTGGCTGGACGATTGTTGTGACGCGAGTGCGTGGCCAGAAATAGCCGAGGGTGGCCGAACAGCAGGCAGAAAAGGCCAAAGCGAAAGGCAACGCGAACGCGAACGCATCTCGGCTAAACGACATCTTCGTCTCCGGCTGTTGCGTTTCCTTTGCCTTTGAGCCAAGTGCATTTAGTATATAAGCGCATATAATATATAAGGACATAGCAACATATTTATAGTTTAGTTTTTTTTTATATCGTTTAGTCTTATCCTTGAGTTGTTGTTACTTTAACATAAAAAAAAAAATTTACGTAAATACACTTAATTATGTTTGTTGTTGATATGCCCTACTAGGGGCAATAGCTTTAAGAACATAATTCAATTAACTTTTTCTCTTTTGCTTGATATTAATTATAGCTATGTATATATATTAAACCTTAATTTATGGGCTCCTGCAGTCGATAACAATCCGAGGCGATTTTCCATTTATCATTTTCAGCGGTTATGACAAAGGATTGCTGAAAGGTGCGCATCTGCTGCTCGGCATATTTAACCGTCCCGCTGGCCAAGATGATATACGTGGTCTGACCACCCACAGCCGGGTCAAGGATGGGCTGTGAGTCCAGCGTTGTCAGCTGATGACGCGACGACGGCAACTCCAAGAAATACCGTTCAATTGTCTCACGACCCTGTGCTCCGTTGCCGTTCCAGCTAAAGTTAGCCGTGTCAATATACAAACGACCCATTTGCTAAAAGAAATGAAAATGGCATAGAAAAATAATTGTTTTGTTTATTGCAACAATTGTTGCAATTGCCGGCTGGCATACGTACATGGCGCCGATTGTCCAAAGAGGCGTAGTATAGACGCGTAAAGTCTTCGGCCGTGCGACAGCAGGCTTCCACTTTGGCCTTAAGCTCCTAATAAAAGACGATAAGTATACATTGTTTAAATTAGAATTTAAAATAATGGAAACTCACGTTGTTCATCGCGTTTATTTCTTGCCTATTCGAAATGAGCTAACCACCAAGTGAGAAGGGTTGCAATTTGCACGTATCGAGAAAAATAACAGCTGATACTTGAAGTTGGCTGCGCTCTGAATTCCAATTGGTGCGCTAATTAAATTCACAATTTTAAATTGAAAATGCACTCAACAAATAAGCATATATAAGATTCTGTTTTATAATTCCTAATAATAATTACTAAAATAAAAGTTATGAGGCTTTACTATCACTACATGTTCGCTGTTGCCATGCCCAACTGTTGGCAATAGCTTTTATAATAGAATTCGCATTTGTTGCACATCAAGTGATAACATTTTCGAATCAGTATAGTATATTAAATTGTTAAATAATTGGCTCCTGCAGGCGATAACAATCCGAGGCGATTTTCCATTTATCATTCTCAACGGTTATGACAAACGATTGCTGAAAGATGCACGTCGGATGCTCAGCGTATTTGACCGTGCCGCTGCCCAAGACCATATACGTGATCTGATCGCCCACAGCCGGGTCAAGGATGGGCTGAGAGTCCAGCGTTGTCAGCTGATGACGCGACGGCGGCAAGTCTAAGAACTGTTTTTCAATGGGCTCACGGCCCAGTGCTCCGTTGCCATTCCAGGTTAATTTAGCACTTTCTATATACAAACGACCCATTTGCTAAAAATCCACGAAAAATTATGTATTTGCTTATTGCAACAAATTAAACAATTGCCGGCTGGCATACGTACATGGCGCCGATTGTCCAAAGAGGCGTAGTACAAACGCGTAAATTCCTCGGCTGTGCGATTGCATGCTTCGATTTTTGCCCTTAGATCCTAATAAAATGCATGTAATAATAGTACTTAATTCAATTTTAGTACCTTACTCTGTTCATTCCGTTCGCTTTTAATTTGACTTTAAGTAACCACTGAAGAAATTGATGACCGACAGGAAAATTTGCTGCGCTTGATCAAAAGCTGGTTAGCTAACGAAATAATCTCACAATTTTGAATACCTGTGCAGGCAGCAAATTGGGCAAATCATTCAATTAGAGCTGATTCAATTGACCTTTCAAACAGCTTCTCCAGCAACTCTTCAGGGTTTACTGTAAACGCGTTTCCTGCATTTAATTGTTATATTTTTATGAGAAACTTGTGAGTAAGTCGATTGAGTTCAAGTTTATGGGACTCTTTTCAAATCTGACAACAGTTTTCGTTGCTTTAGTAGACAAAACTATCAAGGTATTTTTGGTCCCGCACACGTTGCCCAGCAGCTTGTGCCTTCGCTGTCAGGTTGAGAAGAGAGATTTCGATATATTTTACGAGGCGCGCGTTAAGGCGAATAGCGATTTATCGAGTTTGCAAATATCGATATAAATCGCTGTTTATCAAATTAGATAAACATGGCGCCTTCTGATTTAAATTACAAATTCCTATTTGACTGTCCAATTGGCTGCTAAAACTGACATTTTGTATATTGGCTAGTATTATATACAAATGTAAGCTATTTCTGCTGATTTGATGGTATCTAATAAGTAAAACGAAAATACAATTCAACAAATTCGTTATTTGCTGGCAATCGCTTTTGTAATGTACATGTTTCTTTTTGTGCAAGAACTGTCGACATTCAAGAATGTTTATATTAAATACAACCAGATGTAAAAATTATTGGTTTATTGGATCATATAGGCGATAACAATCCAAGGATATTTTCCATGTATCATTCTCTGTGATTATGACAAAGGATTGCTGAAACGTACGCAGCGGATGCCCAGCGTAAAGAACTGTTCCGTTGACCAGGATGATAAACGTGGTATGAACACCCAAGGACGGGTCATGGAAGGCCTGCGAGTCCAGCGACGATGGTAATGCCATGAAGAGACTTTCAATTGCCTCACGGCCCTGCATTTCAGTGAAATTCAATGTGCATTTTGCACCTTCCAAATAGAAATAACCCATTTGCTAAAAAAAAAAAAAAACAAAGTTGTTCAAATGTGATTTTTCAACTACCCGTTTGTTCTCATTTGACACTCACGTTGTTCATTGCGTTCGAGTTTCAAGACTGAGCATAAATGCAATTCACAGTTTTAAATACCTATTCCCTTTTTGGAGACGTCAAGGATCTGTGCAGAGGTTATTGATGCAAATATTAAGTGTCGATAGTTTGTACACCAAGCGGTCATGCTGTCTCTGACTGATATAAATGAGTTACCGAATGGCAGCACTTTTTGCGAAAATGGCAGCACTTTTAGCGACAGTAGACCGTAATTCGCACAATTTCAAAACATTTAACAAAACAGTACTGGTGTCTCCTTAGAAATATATGGAGAACTCTTGCAACAACAAAAGAAAAACAAGGGACAACAACCTAAAAAAAAAAAACTCTTACAAAATGTTTTAAATTATCTGCAATTGATGCTATTTATACCTTAAGAATGCAGTTCCTCAATGCAGTTCCAACCGATGTAATCCTTGTCAAAATTCACAAAAAATATCTCTCGTTATTTAAGAACAAAGTGTTAATGATTTATTGATTCCGCACTGAAAACTCAGATCGTAAAAACTTCTGCGACAAAATGCATCTGCAGCGAAAGCTGTCAATGTCAAATTCCAAAACAAAATGGCGTCGATAATAGATGCGCGTTAAGGCGAATAGCGTTTCATCGACTTTGCAGTCATCGATATATTGGTATAGAATCGATCTGGGAAACAGGCAACATCGAGATATTTCACACTTACGAGCAAAACATCGATATATCCTTGTAAATTAAAGATCCTTAGATATGAATTTCAACTCGAAACATCAATCAGCAAGTCCTTGACGGCCATTGATATTGCAAAAAGTATGTAAAGTAGTTTGTAGTCCGATCGAAAAGTAAACAAACCCCGTTCCAGGCTCCTAGCTCGGGATTGGGCTGCGCCCTGATCACCAATCAGTCGGTCAGTATATATTATTATATGGAGATAATTAGTTTATTGGCTGCTTAACGCGATACAAATCCGAGGAGATTTTCCATTTATCATTCTCAGAGGTAACGAGAAAGACTTGATTGAAGGGGCACATCGGCTGCCCAGGATACTGGACGATTCCGCCGACCAGGATCGTGGTTGTCAGCTGATTGCCAACAATTGAGGCCGGCATGGGCAAGGCGTCCAACGTTTTCAACTCATGATGCGAAGACGGCAATTCCAAGAACTTTTGTTCGATGGCCTTGCGGCCATATGTGCAAATGCCATTCCACGTTAATTTTGCATTGTCCAAATAGAAATAACCCATTTCCTGCAATAATCAACAAAACGAACGAATTGCTTCAAACGACGCTTGCAATTGCCGATAGACGTATGTACGTACATCGCGCCGATTGTCCAGAAAGGCGTAGTACAAGCCCGTAAAGTCTACGGCCGTACGGCCGCACAGTTCCAGATTGGCCTTAAGCTCCTAATGAAAGTGATTCCCTTTGATAATACTTAAATTTCAAATTTTATTAAAAAAACACTCACGTTGTTCATCGCGTTTGTATTTCACTGAGTGAGTAGGGCTCCAGTTTTCCGATTTCGGCGAGTTTCGCAGTGAAGTTGGTTGCGCTTCGATTGACATAAATGCAATTCTCAGTTTCGAATGCCTTTGCAGGCAGCAAATGGGGCTTTGTATTCCCTCTTGGAGACGTTAAGGATCTGTTGAGAGATTGTATATAGAGAATAACAAGTTACCAACGAAGTAAAAAATATTACACCCTTTTTACCCATTTTTAGAGTATGAAAACATAAACTAAATGGAGAGTCATGCGGTGTGAGAAATGAAATATTCCATAAAAAATATTAAAGACCTGCTAAGGACCTCTGAGGAAATGTTTAAAGTTATTTGCACTCTTGTGCCCCGCTTTAAATTGTAACTATTTACAACTTACAACAAGCTCAATGCAGCTCCTACTGATGTTGGCCTTGCCGAAAAAAAACAACTCTCGTTACTTAGGAAGGACTTAACGCTGTATTATATATACGCAGTATATATCCAGCACTGAGAACTCACTTCGTACAACTCCTGCGAGTTGTCACTGTCAGTTTGAGAAAAACAAAATGGAGTCGATAAAAGGCGCGCGCGTCGAGGCGAATTGCGATTTATCGACTTTGCAATAATCGATATATCATTATAGATTAAATCGCATTAATTGGTTGCTCTCAAAATATATTAATAAATTCCCATTTGCCCATCCGTTGAAATTGCAATTTAATGATTAAACAACCAATGAAACATATTTTTTAATATAATAGTTAGGTATAAAAACCTTAAGCAAGGGGCACATGCGGATATATATTATATATATATATATTCGCATGCGGCTGTTGCACTCCTTCAACTTTTAACTACGCACGATTAGAGCCAACATATCCAAAAGCTATACGAAATTATATAGTTAGGTTCACTTTTGCCTTTCTGACAGTATCTCAAAAGTAAAGAAAACCTGTTGAACACACTTAAACAAGTTAGTTGTTGCTATGCCTCACTACTGACAATAGCTTCGATAACATCATTTTATTTATAATATGTTTTTTGTACATCAATTGATAATCAAACAAACTACAACAGGCGATAACAATCCGAGGTGATACTCCATTTGTTATGCTCATAGGCTATAACAAAGGACTGATTAAAAGCTCGCAATGGCTGCCCAACGTACAAGACCGTTCCACTGCTCATAATGATGTACGTGGGCTGACCCCCCAAGGAGTAGAGGAACGGCTGCGAGTCCAGCGTTTGCAGTTCATGACGCGACGGCGGCAAGTCCAAGAATACCCTTTGGATGGCCTGACGGCCCAGTATATCGTTGTCATTCCAGGTCAATTTGGCACTGTCCAAATAGAAATAGCCCATTCTCTGCAAGAATCAAAATAATAATATGCCAATTGTTGATTCATGTATGTACGTACATCGCGTCGACTGTCAATAAAGTTATAGTACAGATCCGCAAAGTCAGCGGTCGTCTGATAGCAGTGCTCTACTATGGGATCTATCTCCTAATAAAATAATACTTAATTTCCATTTCCATTTTAATGCATTGACACTTACATCGTCCAGTGTATCCATTTGTTTTTTATTTAAACGTTATCTCGGAAAGAGGAGAACTGCAATTTGCAGATATCGATTGACGGCTTGCAGCGAAGTTGGCTGCGCTTTAAATGACAAAGTTCAATTCACAATTTTAAATACCTTTGCAGGCAGGCAGCAAATGGTGCGTTGAATTCCCTGGACCAACAGACAGAGCAACAACACAAGCGCCAATTGGAGATGTTTAAGATCTGTTAACTTTGTATTATTTCTGCAACAAAATGCACCAATAAAACAAATTAACTCGAACGATATTGTTTCAATTATTTGGGAGTAATTCTTAAGATTCCCACATCATTTTGCAAGCAATTTAAAAGCAATAGTTCTTTTCACCCACAGAGTAAAATCATACTATTTCTTCTTTGCTCTCTCGCAACCCGGGAAAAACACCTAGCAAAAAGCTCAATAAGAAAATATTTGCATGTGCATTTGCTGCTTTAAATTATGGTTTATATGCAGCTTATACAGATGTTAATCTTTCCAAAAACTCACAAAACTGTCGTATTTTAGAAAAATTAAACCAAGAGCTCAATTTTGCGCAACTCCTCCAATAATATTATGTTGACACTGTCAGATTGAAAACAAAATGGTGTCGATGATAGGCGCGCGTTAAGGCGAATTGCAAGCTATCGACTTCAGTCATCGATATATCGTTATAAATTAAAGCTAGCGCTGTAATTGCTGCGATAATTGAACATTAAAAATTCATCGATATGTGGTAAAGATGCTGCACGACAATCGTATAATCGCGCTGGCTCCTTTAACGGCAACTTTTGATTGCCTGTATTTAAAAAAATACGCAAGAAAGTGAAGTTCGTTTGTCGAAAATGGAATTCTGATAAAAGTAATTTAGTGCATGTTCTTATGTGGGGAAACTTAAACGAAGTATTAAAAACACTAAAGAAACTTGCAAACATATATTATATTTGTGAATAAGGACTACACTAGACATTACCACGTGATACAATTTGAAACTAACAAATGGAAATAGATACCGAAACATTTATCAATAACGAATCAAGTTGGTTATGGGAAAAGAGCGACGCAAACTCATGCATTTCTCACGATCGATGAACAGAGCGTTGACCTTGTTGCGCAAATCCTCCTCCAGGATGCAGCGGGTCTTGAGCAAAGACTGATGGGTGGCCTCCGCCTGCTGCAGCTTATGATGTAGCACGTCGACAGTGCCTTGCAAGTCCTGCACCTCCAGCACAAGGCGATCGTGGGCTGTATCCCTGGACGAGAATATGGCAGGTGAGAGAAAATTCCAAGATAAATATGATTAATTCATGACTTACTTGCACAGCTCCATGCCCTCACGATGAGAGCGCGCCTCGAGACGCGTCTGCGCCACCTTAAGCGGATTCGATTTGTCCTGTATGGCCTTCTGCAGTAGAAACAGATGTTTCTCCATATCGAACAGCTCCTGCTGCACCTTCTGTAGATGCATCTGTACGCGACTCTTCGCGCCGGCCATTTCCTGGGCGCGCCTATCCAGCGCATTGTTCGTATTGTTCCAGAAGTCCCAGACAGAGGAGGCCACGGCATTGACCACGTTCTGTGAGTCGCTGCGCAGCTGCGACAACTTGGCGCGTTCCGCCTGCGAACTGGATTGGAATATACAATAAACAATTTGATTCGCATGGGATGGGATGGGATGGGATGGGATGGAAAACTGAATAGCCTCTTACCGCTTGACATGCTCACTGCTGGCCAGTGCCCAGGAGTCCTGTGTGCTGACCGTCGGATCGTACTTCTCGATGCCACCGAAGTAGGTGATGCCGCGACTGTAGTTGTTCAGGCGATGGCACATGGAATCGATGCCCATGGTGGACTCCTTTTGTGTTACATCGATTTCCAGCAAATGCTGGGCGCCACGGCAGTCGATCGCCTGCTTGGCAATCTTCTCGTGCAGATCCTTGAGACGATCGCGCGAATTGCGCAAATGATTGATCTCCAGTAGCAGCGCCTTCTCCACATTATCGTGCACCTTCTCCATGCCCTGACGTCCCTCGCGATGGAATAGACACTCCTGGGCGATATGCAGCGGAATCTCCAGGTCCAGCATCGCCTTGCCGCACTGCCGCTGCAGCTCATTGATGTCGGACATCTCGCCAATCAACTTCTCCAGCTCGGCGTTTAGCTCGTTGCGCCAAAATGTCAAATCCGTAATGCGTTCACCCAGACGGCGACCGGCGTCCCGCTGGCCCATCGATGCCGTCTCGTCCGTCTCGCGCATAAGACGCACTGCATCATTGCGCATGCGCTCCGACATGTTGCTGCGCATGAATCAGCCAATTCAGTGGACAGCATTCCGTATAGACTAATAATTTCACTCACCGATTCGTGTTGGACTCGCCGTAGATGCCAATATTGTTGTTGTGCCACTCGTTGTTAGTGTAGCGCGTGTAGAGTGCGGCACGTGCCGCATGCTGTGGATTGCGCTCGAATCCGGTAACAAGATTCGGAAATATCATGCCCTCCGTTTTCATGCCCTGGGGCACAAAGCATGGCTGCGTCATCTGATTGGTAACCGGCTGCTCCGGCATATGCTTCACCTCGATCATCTCGAAGGCCATTTTGGGCCGCCACGGATGCCGCTGCGTTGTCTCATAGGAGGCGGCCAACCGAGTCGGCACTGTCGCACCACTGATTGGCTCCATGCAGGGCGGCGCACCCGCATGGCTCCATGGCTGCAATTGAGAATACATGACGCTCTGTGTCGGCAACGCAGTGTTTCCATCGTGCTGGTTCGACATGATTGCTGCTGTGCTTGATACTCCGAAAATTTTAATTACTTAGAATTTGGTGCAACTACAATAAAGGTAAAATTAAAAAAAAAAAAAATATATGTCGCGAAAAAAATATTCCAACACGATATGAAGTTGTGCGAGATTGTAAGATAACTAAATAATAAAAATGTACTTAGCATTAGATAGTAAAGCAGCGCCTACTGCTGTACATTTTGCATAAATCAATGTTATTTTTGGTGCTGGTTATATATGATAGGTTGATAGATGATACATATGATTCCATGAGATTGCGATGATCCTTGCGCTCTTTGTACTCGTTCATATCCGCTGTGGGCCATTTATCAAGCAGATTATCCTTGACCAAACGATGATCAAATTTGCGATTTTCAAGATATAAGTGCTTTTGGTTTTGGGTGATCTCATGACCTTTCAGTGGTGCCATTGCATCCAATAAGTCTTGGGCTTGCTCACTCACAATGGGCACACTTGAGCGCAATAGCAGATTCTTGAGGGTTTCGGGCGCCTTCTGTGGATTTGGATTTCGTTGCCTTGATAAATTATCCTCGGTCAACCAGCACAGCATTTGCAAATAATGGCTTATGCGCTGGTAACTGTAGTTTAGCACTGGAATTCCGCAACTGAAGACGACGCATTGGATATTGACTTTAATATTGATTTAACTTGGCTTGGTAACTTAGTAGCCGCTGTGGTTGTTGATAGCGTGCGTTTTGTAAAATCAATGGCATTGAGTGTATTGTGCTATGGCTTAAGTTCAATGTCTAACTTGACGACAAGAAAAATTGTTGCGGACTATTTATTTTATTTACATATTCATCAGAGCAAATGAGTTTTAATTTGCAGTTTAAATGCAGCGCCACAATGGAGTGCATACATATCGATATATCAATATCGATATATTAATCGTGTTTCTTTAATTTTACTTTTAATTTAACAATATTTAATAATCGCTTGAAATTTCAGCATAAAATATACGAATATAAATTAGATGTGTCGATAAAATCGCCAAGGCCATATTTAAAAAACATCAAAAATTAATTTGCCATATATGTGTTAACACAATTAATCGATAGGGCTGGCACATCCAAGAGCGTGTCACGCACGGCATGCCGCAGTGTGAGTGTATACACATGACTAACACACAGATGTGCGATGTGCCCCACGACGAACACGGTCAACGTAAAAAAAAAAAACAGTAGACAACACTTGCAAATCGAAACGAAACGCTGGCTGAAGAAAAGCAGGCGAAGGCAACATAATCAAAGCACATACGAATGTGACAGTCTACACAGTTCGAATACGGGTTTGATTGAGCGATTTGCACAACACGCGAATAATATTTAAAATAGCGGAGTACAACCAAATTCGATGCCATGAGCGCCAACAAACCAAGCGAGGCAACAACACCGTCAAGTGCAGCCGCCAGCGAGGCGGATGCCGAAACATCGGATGCCGCCACAGGAACAGCGGCTGCAATTACGACTGACGACTCTGCCACACTAGAAGCTGAGGCGGGGTTGGCCGAACTGAATCAGTTCATCGGCGAGCTGCAGGAGAAGATCGACGCAAAGCGTCAGCTGCGCCAGCAGAATGCCAACTTTGAGCTGCCCGGCGATGAGTATTTTGCGCGCCTCGACTCCAGCCTGAAGAAGAATACGGCATTTGTGAAGAAGCTAAAGGTCTTTACGAGCACACAGCTGGAGGCGCTGCTGCGCGAACTCTCCGCCTTGAATCTGAGCAAATACATTTCCGAAATATGTGCTGCACTGGCCGAGGCCAAGCTAAAGATGACAGATGTGCCTGCTGTGGTGACATTGGCCTCCAAGCTGCACTGCACCTACGCGGACTTCAATACGCAGTTTCTTGAGGCATGGCAGAAGGCACTTAATATCAAAGCGTCCGAGAAGATAAGCAATCCGAGTAAATTGCGCGTGGATTTACGTCTGTTCGCCGAGCTGGTCAGCTCTGGCGTCATCCAGATGAAGCCGGGCTTGGCACTGCTGGGCATGGTGCTGGTGCAGCTGATAGCCCAGGACAAGGACGATCATAGCAACTTTTCCATAATACTATCCTTTTGCCGCCATTGCGGCGAGGAATATGCCGGCCTGGTGCCACAGAAGATGCAACAGTTGGCCAACAAATATCAAGTGGAGGTGCCCAAATCGGATTTTCTGAGCGCCGACAAGCAGCTAAATCTGCGCACCATGCTCAAGGGCTATTTTAAGGCGCTCTGCAAGCACGTCCTGGCCGAGCAGGCCGCATTAATGAACATGACCAAAAACATACGCCGCACCATGGAGTGCAAGGGCGAAATAAGCCAGGAGAAACGCGAGAAATGTGAACTGATGCAGGCGAGCTTTGACAAGCTGCTCGCCTCGGCCCAATCGCTGTCGGAGCTGCTGGGCGAACCGCTGCCGGAGCTGACCAAAGAATCCGAATGCTGCAATCCGGGCACTGTCATTGACAATATGCTGGACAGCGCCGCCTTTGGCACACTGGATCCCTGGGGCGATGAGGAGACGCGCGCTTTCTACACGGATTTGCCCGATTTGCGTCAGTTTCTGCCAAACTTTTCGGCACCCAAAGTCGATCTGGAGACATTAGAAGAGCCCAGCGAGCTGACCGAGGAGGCTATCGATGCCAATATCGATGCGGAACTCGACATGGATGATCCGCCGTCAACGGCCAGCGACACGGCCCTCGACAAGGAGCAGGAGGAGCAGCCAACAGCTGCTACACCCACGGCTGAGGCGGCAGCTGCAACAGCCGGAGCTGCAGCTACTGCACCTGCTGTGCCGATTGACAAGAAAATGGGCAGCGCACTCATGGAGTTGGGTCGCCAGCAGCAGCAGCAGCAACAACAGCAAACGGTGAGTAGTCCGTCTATACGGGGCTAAGCAAGCTTAACGAATTGTGTCACGCATAGATAGATACATCTCCCAACCCATTCAGAATATATAGTCTAGAACAGTATCAACAACCGAAGCTATATCATTTAACGGCAATAGGAATGATCGGTCGATAGGCTAGTTAGATTCGCAGATCTAGAACATTTAGCTTCCGCTCCAATTGGCATATAAATTCTATATAAAAAGTTAAAAACTCAGTTGTAATGTTTTTTTTTTTTTAAATGGGTGAAAAAGGAAGGGACACGTTTGAATTGAAATAATATATATCTCTACATACTAATGCATCTCTCACTCTCTCTCTTTCTTTCTCTCGCTGTCTCTCTCTCTCTCTCTCTGACTGATCCCATGCAGCAGCAACAACAACAGGCACAATCGCAGAGCCAACAGCTGCGCCAGCAATTCGACGTGTTCCTTCTGAATCTGTTCAATTGCGTTAACAAGGAGCTGATCGATTCGGCGGCAATCGAATTTCTGCTTAATTATAATACAAAGCATCAGCGCAAGAAGCTAACCAAGACGATTTTTAGTGTGCAGCGTACGCGTCTCGATATATTGCCATATCTGTCGCGATTTGTGGCAATTGTGCACATGTGCAACACGGATGTGGCCGCTGATCTGTCCGATTTGCTGCGCAAGGAATTCAAATGGCATATACGCAAGAAGAACCAACTGAATATCGAGTCCAAGCTGAAGATTGTCCGTTTCATTGGCGAACTGGTCAAGTTTGGGCTGTTCAAGAAATTCGATGCCTTGGGCTGCCTGAAGATGCTGTTGCGCGACTTTATACACCATCACATCGAGATGGCGTGCGCCTTTGTGGAGGTCAGCGGTGTCTATTTATATAACTGCCGGGATTCGCGTCTCTTGATGAACGTCTTTCTTGATCAGATGCTGCGCATGAAAACGGCAACGGCCATGGATTCACGCCATGCGGCACAAATCGAGAGCGTCTATTATTTGGTTAAGCCGCCAGAATCGGCTAAGCGTGAGATAACACCACGCCCGCCCATGCATGAGTATATACGCCATCTGATCTTTGAGGAGCTGTGCAAGCAGAATGTCGAGCGTTGCATCAAAATGCTGCGACGCATCAATTGGCAGGATCCGGAGATAAGCAGCTATGCCATCAAGTGTCTCAGCAAGGCATATCTGTTGCGCTTTCCGCTCATACGCTGCCTGGCCGATCTTGTCTCTGGGCTGAGCTCCTATCAGCCGCGCGCTGTCACCATTGTCATTGACAATGTGTTTGAGGATATACGCGCCGGGCTGGAGATACACTCGCCCAAGATGTCGCAGCGTCGCATCGCCATGGCCAAATATCTGGGCGAGATGTATAACTATAAGCTGGTCGAGTCAACGCATATACTTAATACACTGTATTCGATAATATCGCTCGGCGTGACATTGGATCAGTCTGTGATCTCGCCGCTGGATCCGCCCGAGAGTCTATTTCGCCTTAAGCTGGCCTGCATGCTGCTGGACACCTGCGGCCCCTACTTTACCAGCCAGGCCACACGCAAAAAGTAAGCCCCTCCAATATTTGTTGGCCCATAATTATAACCTAATTCAAACTATTTGTAATACTCTTCACAGATTGGACTACTTTTTGGTGTTCTTGCAGCACTATTATTGGCACAAGAAATCGCATCCGGTGTTCAGCAAATCGGAGAACACCTCGGATCTCTTTCCCATACTCGTCGATCACACCTATCGCGACTGTTTGGCCGGGGTGCGACCGAAGCTCAAGCTGTATAAGAATCTGGAGCAGGCCAAGGAGGCAATTGATCAGCTGCAGGAGCAACTGTATCCACAGCTTAAGGCCAGCAATAATGCTCAGGATGCCAGCCTGACGACCATTAGCGAAATCAACGAATTGGACGAGGGCGTAAGTTGCATAGACCAAATTTGTAATGCCCATTTCAATGATTCGATCGATACTCACCGCGTTTCAATGTTGTTTAGGTTACGGATGATTCAGCTGGCTCATCGAATGATCAGCGCGAACGTCAGGCTGCTGGTGGCTCGGAGGCCGATCAGGCGAACGATTGGACTGAATATGAGGCGGAGCCAGCGCCGCCGCCACCGCCGCCAGAGAAATCCAAAGAGGATCTTGAATTTGAGCAAATGTACGAAAAGATGACCAGCGATTCGTATCAGGAGCGTCTCAAGGAGCCGCCACTCAAAGCCACCAACAAAGATATACCTGTGCCCATGATGGCACGCCTGCAAAAGAAATCCTACGACCAGTTAATGGGCAACAATGTGCCACAGATCTCAAAGGCCTGCGCCAATGCTGCCGCCGCGTCTGCCGCCAACGCCAATGCCAATGCCAATGCCCACGCCCATGCCTCGGATAGCGCTAACAATTTACCAGCAAACGCAGCCGCATGCAGCGATCCGCCTGCTGCAGAGGGTGGTGGCGGCGGCGGCGGCGGCGGCAGCGGTAGCGGTAGCAAGGGCAGCGGCGCTGTGTCCTTTGTGCTGATGGTGCGCGGCAATAAGGGCGGCAAGCAGCAGTTCAAGTCATTTGTGGCCCCATCGGACTCCCAGCTGGCCATCAATCTAAGGCTTCAGGAGCAGAAGACGCGAGAGGAGAAAGAGAAGGTGAAACGTCTTACGCTAAACATAACCGAACGCATCGAGGAGGAGGATTATCAGGAGTCGCTGCTGCCGCTGCAACAGCGCAACTTCACACAGAGCTATTACCAGAAGCCCAACAAGCACAAGTTCAAGCATCAAAAGGGTGCACCCGACGCAGATTTGATCTTTCACTAAGTGTCACCTGTTACAGTCGCCTGGTTGCCAAAGCGTTATCAAACAGACCAACAAACAGCGCCTGTCTGCCCAACGCCTGCCCGACCGATCGACCGACCGCCCTACCGCCCGACTGCCTGCCTGCCTGCCTGCCTGTCTGCTCGCTCAGACGCTCCAAGAGCAATCAATGCAAAGATATCTCTATGTATGTCCAGAGCCATAGACTGGCGTTCACAAGATGCCTTCAATTGCATATGGGCAGACGGACTAGCCAATGCCCAACTATGTTTGTGTACCCATTGTTAGCTCCTTTATATTGTTGTGGAACGTACTTAAGTTGGAGTGTTCTTATCACGCCAAGGCGTCTATGGCGAGCCTAGGCTCACACACTTACACACACACACACAAATGTGTATACATATATATAAGTATATATATCTGTATCTCTATATATATATATTTATATATACATATATATATGTACGGCTAATATGTGTTATTCATAATTCTATGGTTATGTACATAGACTTATAAAGATTTTATAATTGTGTAGATAATAGCAGCGCCCAGACTTGTTAAGAAAACATATTTTGTTTTTTTATTCAATAAACAAAACCCAAAAATCAAAATTTTCACGCAACATCTTCTTAATAAGCACCATAAACTCAACTCTATGAGATGCGTTCGCTTAACATAAAGGAAATTGTTAGTTTTCCCAAAACTCTGTTGAAGAAAACTTTTATAAAAAACTTTTAAATATTGTCAGAAAAAAAAAGAAAAAAAAACACAGGTCTTATTCTCGTTAACATGAATGACTCGTAAGAGATATAAGTATTTTTTACTTTTACAATGAATTTAACAAAAAGGAACTTGTAAGATCTTTTCCGAAGATCACTTTCATAAACACTTCTTAATTATATTATCAATTGTATTATGATTGTTTACTTGAGCGACTAGTAAAATATATAAATTATTTCATTTTAACAAGGAAGAACGCAAAATAGAACTAAGAGAGATCTGTTTGCTTAACAAAAAGGAACTTGTAAGTTCTCCGAGATCTCTCTCCTGAAGTGCACTCACAAACAGCTCTTAAATATTACCAAGCAGTGGTAATAAGTAATTTTTAACTTAACAAGAACAACTTATTTAACAAAAATAAACTCGTAAGTTCTTCAGCATTTCTCTACTGAAGAAGACTTTCACAAACAGTACTCGAATATTATCAAGCTCAATAACAGCTCATCTAGATAAATAGTAGTTTAAACTTAACAATTATTTCTAATTTTCATAGTTATTCATAATGCTCAAGCATTAAACCAATACTTACCTCACCTAATTGTTTTAATTTAATCTACTCTTTCTTAAACAGTTCTTAGGTGCTACGAAACAAGATGCTTTGGAGATAGAATTCATTTGATATTAACAACGTAAACTCAAGGTTTTCTATAGTTCTACGTAATACTCAATTAGGCATAGAGATTTTACAACGAATTGTTAAATGCTTGATTAAAGTTAGGTTTAAATCTAATCTCAGATTATGTTAGTGTAGATTTGAGTGTGGAACGCAATTTTGTTTAAACGTCTTTTTAGAAATTGCTATGAAACTTATTTGTACATGTCATCTCGAGTATTTTATAACTGATTGATTAGTTTGCTTCAAACTTGGGCGGGAACTGTGGGGTATGTATGTATGTATCAACCATGGCATATGCGTCACTTTTGTCCAGCTGTGTCAGCGGTTGGCGTCTGCGGCAGCTGTGCATTAATAGTCATGGACTCGGTATTGAGCAGCATGGCCCAGTCTTCAAGTTTATGCCCTAGGGCCTGAGATGGAGTTTGTATCAACTGTGTATCAATGCCGATGGTTTTGGCGTTAAGCAGCATTGCATCCATTGCCCAATCTTCATTATTGTTATTTTCCAGCTCTTGGTTCGGCGTCTTTATCAGCTGTTTATCAATGGCCATCGATGCGGTATTAAGGCGCAGGGCTTCCAGCACCCATTTATCAATTTTGTTCTCCAGCTCTTGGATTTGGGCTTTTGTCAAATGTGTATCAATGTCAATGGATTCGGTATTAAGGAGCATGGCATCCATTGCCCAGTCTTCTAGCTCTTGATTTGGCGTCAGTGTCAGCTGTGTATCTCTGGTAATTGACTCGGCTTTAGGAAGCAAGTCATTCTCCAGCTCTTGGGTTGACGGTGCATCAATGGACATGGACTCGACGTTAAGTAGCATGGCATCGAGTGCCCAATCTTCATCATTGCTCTCGAGCTCTTGGTTTAGCGTCTGGGTCAGCTGTGTATCGATGGACATTGACAGGGTATTAATGTGCATGGCATCCAGTGCGCAGACTTCCTTATTAAGCTCCAACGTCTCCGAATGCCACAATTGCGATTCCCTAACGCTGACATTGCTGAGCTGAGCATCTTCTTTTGCCCGCGTTTCCTGCAGAACGGCCGATTCGCTGTACTTTTGATCGCAGCGCCAACGATCGAGCCGGCAGTTATTATCTTTTTTCAGCTGGCAGCTGCGTATGTGATTGCATTTGGCTATCTCGTCGTCCGTATAGGGCAGTATCTCACGCCTGTGCACAGCCTTGATCAACATGGCATTGATGTAGCAATCGGAACGATTGGCCCGGCGATCCTTACGCCGCAGCCGCCGCTTGGCGTCCCACACACAATTGAAGAGCGTCATATTGACACGCAGCTTTGTTCGGCGGCATAACATGTTCACCTCTGCGGCACTGTGCACCCTTCTCAAATCGCTGTTTTTTATTTTCTATGGAAATTGACTTTCAGGTTTAACCATCGCGATCTTTGTTTTGAATTTTGCGTACTTACGAGTGCTGCATACATTTCCTGTAGGCGTTGCTTGTCATCTGCATCCACTGCCAGGCTTAATATCTTTTTCTCTTCCTCATTTTGATAGTTAATCAGCTCGCGTGTTAGGCTATGCGGCATATATTGCAACATCTTGACATATGTTAAAAAGCAACTGCAACTGTAAAGCAAATAGTATTAAGCTCTGTTGCTTGCCGCTTAATAAGCACATTTTGTGGTATTTTCATTGCTGCACACATTGGTCACACCGTGCAGCACAGTTCGGCCAATAGAATTTGAAATTGGTAAGCTGCCGATTTACGTGGAACTGATGAGTATCGATGCTCGATAAACTATTTTAAAATATCTGGCAAGGTTTTTGGCAATAATTAAACTTACATCGTAAACTTAAGGTCCCCAGCTTATAAGAGTCACAACTGCACATATAGGGATTGGCTCAGTTCGTAGTCCTGATCATGAATATATATATATACATACATACTTTATGCATTGTTAATTTTTAATGAATGCAGAATTTGCAAATGACAAAAAGTGCATAAATATTTTAATTTTATAATTCAATTGAAGTTCTTTAAATTACATTGAAACTCGACATTTATTTTTCTGTTTCTTTTTTATTTCATTAAAATTAGCATCAAACAGTTTTTATTATATGTTTATTATTTTATATTTCAATAAAATTGCCAGTGTTTCCACCTTGTATTTATAAACAATTATTTACTCTTTTCTTTCTTTTTTTTTTATACACTCAAATACATTCATCATTTTGTTGTTGTTGTTAATCAGTAATCAGTACAAATCGCAAAAATATGTTGTTTTTTTTTCCTTCTTGTTTTATATTTAATTATCGTAGCATTAATATACTATTAATGATCAAAAACTTGAAAAATACACGATTCCTAAAAAGAAACTCGAACCTCTCGACGGTTCATAAATAAAAATCGGGGCACAATTTGTTTGTTTCTTTTTGTTTGTCATATAAAATTAACAATTACAAGCTTAAATGTTAATACGCTTAAATATTAATTGTAAAGTTAGATTTAAAATAATAATATATAAAAAAAAATAATAAACATACATATAAGAAACACGAAAGAATTGACGGCAAACAAAAATTGGGCGTGAGTCCATAAAAGTTAACAAAATCAGTTTGTTTTTTTAGTGTTGGTTTTTTTTTTTTTTTTTTTTTTGAAATTGGCATAAATTCAGTTTTTTGTTTTGTTTTAATTTTTTTTGGATCGTTTAGCTAATAAATAAATTGCTAGATTGCATGGACATTAATAAATTAGGCGATCCGAAAAGGCGTTGCCGGGCGCAACTTTTGCCAAATACTTAAGTTACGAAATTAAAAGAAATAATAATATTAAGTATTATAATTTCATAATGTGCTGCACGCAAGGCATCATTCCAAAAACAATTCATGTGACTTTGCTTAACAATTGTTATTGATTTGCTTTTGAATAGTTTCGTTCTTGAAACTCTGCAATTGAGGCGCACATAGATGAAATATAACAAATGGATCGTTCGTTGATTTTAGTTGACATATAAGTAACAGGGGCACAGCTGGGTGTACCAAAAGGCTTTTAAGTGTTGTTTGTAGATCGTTTGCTGCGTTCTTTGTTTAGTTGATGCGTGGATTAATTGTTGTTGTTTGTGCGTTCAAAATTTTGTTGTTTGTTTTGGCTGTTTTGCAATGGAAGCTTTTCCTGTTGTTGTTGTTGTTGTTGTATACCACGTACATACAAGTACATATATATAGAATCTAAAATGTATGGTATATATATAAATAAATATATATTGCAAGGCACAATTCGTTTGCTGTGTGTGTATATATAGATATATACATATATATAGTTTATATAAAACATTGACTTAGTTATGAACGCGTTTCAATGGCAGTTTGACTTTTGTTTCAAGCATTTTGTTTTTGTTTTTGTTGTTTGTTTCATGTTAAATGTTGCACGCGCACCGTTTTGTAGAAGCTGCTTCATTTGTGTGGCTGGAGGGCTCGGGGATGTGGTTTGGGGAGGGGCTGGAGTTAATAAAAGGACAGTCAGTTGTTGAATGGCAAATTTCACTAAAGAAAACAATGGGCAACTGTTGCTGCGAATTATTTGCCCGCATAGATGGGATTCTTGAAGGTGGATGTGGCCTGTTTGTATATAGGATTCTCGCCCTGCAAAATAAATAATAATTTGTATATTGATAATTGTTTAAATGGGCTGCAATCATCTATTGGCTTACCGTGTCCCACTTGGCGTTCATGCGCTCCTTCTCGAAGCGCGCGAACTCGCGACGATCGTGTATGGTGGTGAGCAGCTTCCAGAGCAGCAATATGGCCAGGCCGATCAGGACAATGGCCGCAATGACGCCCAGGACAATGCCCAGCATGAAGACCTTGGGCGGGCATTCCTTCTCCTCCTGGGCATGCACAACCAGTTCGCCCACTTCGCTATATTTGAACGTAAATTTGCAATCGTCCTCATCGAAGAAGACGCATAGCTGCTCATCCTTGTGCTCATCGATTTTGACCTTCTCGACGCCAACGGGCGTGAATGTTGTACAGTTTTTGGCACAATCATCGCCATTCTTTAGCTCGCCCGTGTGATACATTTGACACTGGACGCAGTCCTTGAGCTCGTGACAACGGCCCGAGCATGTGGGGCATTTGTCACAGTATTTGCCCGAATAGCGGCCATCGTCCGTCGACTTGCATTTGCAGACGCCGCACTCGCAGGTGCCATGACCCGAACAGATCTCGCCGCCATTCGGCGGCATGCACGTGTCCTTCGACGTCTGGCAGTCGCAGCTGTTGCCCGTCCAGCCGGGTTTGCATACACAGCGATTGCACTCGCAGATGCCGTGATCGGGTCCCGAGCATAGCAAATTCTTTCTACGCTCACAGCTAAAGTTCTCGCATTCACAATATTTGCCGGAGATGATCTCCTCGGGATTGGTACGCTTATGGCACTCACAGGCGCCGCACACACAACTGCCGCGTCCATTGCATTCGGCAACGCTCGTATCGTTGCCGGGACGGCACATATTATCGTTGACATTGTTCAAGTGCACGTCCGACATGGAGCACTCGCATGTGTTGCCAAAATGCTGTTCATCGCATTCACAGATGCCGCACATGTACGTGCCGTGGTTGTGGCATTTCTGCGAGTGGATCTCGTAGCCAGTGGAGCCGGCATGCTCGCAGGGGCACGAGCACAGCATCTCCAGGTCAATAATCATGCTCTCATTGATGCCCACCGGATAGATTTGAATCACCTGGAATATGGATAAGGATGAGAATACGGTTTACCGTGATCTGAGTCAAAGATTAGTGCTCCGACTAGAAGATTCCCTGCACCTAGTGTAGACCTGCCGTTACAAGCTTTCAAATCTTCTGCAATCTGAACACCTTATGCTGCTTCTTCCTCCCCCAACCACACACTATTGAAAATGCAGTTTGCATTAACTTCGGTGCTTATAGTCCGATCTCTGTGAAACTTTCAGGGCTTTAGTATAACATACATAAGTGTGTATATACCAGAGCGCAAGGCTCTACCTTGGGAAGCATGTATTTTCCAATCTTAAGTTAAATGGAAGGGCCCCGAAGAAATTGAAATACTTTTCATCTGTGTATACTCTACGCGAGCCTACATACCAAGTTTGGTGTATCTGGCTCTTATAGTTCTCGAGTTATGCTTAAAAGTCGTGTCTTAAAATCGACATTTATCGATACTCTTAAAATCGATATTTATCGATATTCTTAAAATCGATATTTATCGATAATATGGAAATGGGAGGAGTTGTCGATAAACACAAGATAATCAATTTATATTTTTAATTTCAAGACTAGTTTTAAAGCTCGATGCGTTCGCCCAGATGGACGAACAGATGAACAGAAGGACTCATGCATTTCCAGGAATGTTTCCATTGTGAAAGCTGCACATGAATTTCACCCTCTTTTATCTCTCCCCAACTTAACACATTTGCTTATCTGAATTTCTTGAATCAAAACGTAATTTGAAGCGATTTACATACCTGATTCCAGTCACGTGGATTGGCCGGGCATTTGGTGACCGTTATTTGGGCGGTGAAGGTGACCTTGTCGCCGACCTTGAGGCCGCTGCACTTGTTCGTTTTAATCTGTGGTCCATTGGTCAGACAGCTGGACAAGTAAGTGATCTTAACATCGCCCATGGCATTGTCCTTCATCTCCACCGACGAAGAGATTTTCTGCAAGAATTGAAAATGATTTTCATTTGTATAAAGAATATATATGTATATTCAAGCACTTACGCTATATTCCTCGCGCACCAGATCGACCACATTGGACGAATCATTGGACAAAATGGCGCTGGATGAGCCCTCAATGTGTCCGGACAGCTTCTGATAGACGGAATACTGGTTCTGTGTGACGGCAAAGATAATGTTGATCGCATTCTGTTTGACCTTCTGGTTAATTTGCGATATGCTCGGATAATCCTGTATGATCGAATGCGTGTACATGCCCTGTCCATTCAAATGGCATTCGCCATCGTTGGGCGTTATAACACCGCCCAATTTACCATCGCCGGCATAATGGAAGCCCGCATCCGTCGAGAAGACAAGCAGGCGACGGGCCTGCTCCCGCCAGCCGACCTGTTGGCGACAGGCAATCGCCTGCATGATGGCATCGAAGCCGCCTTCGGGTGCATCCAAATTGCCAGAGACAGCAGCCTGTTTCACCTCGTTCTGTTCATTTTTGTGTGGGCGTGTGTGTATATAAAGTTGTGAATTAATATAAAAAATAATCGAATGCGATCGCTGTGGTGCATTTATTAGGCAGGCACACTCCTGCCAAAGCCATTCAGTCGTAAGCGAAGCGTGTTCCCAATTCCGATTTCGATCAAAACTTGAAAGCTTGTCGTTTATCGATAACAGAGCAGCTGATAATAATCGTTTACCTATCCATTAGTCTTTAGTTGGAAGCGAAGCCATTTTTTGATTTAGTTGAGATTTCTGCATTTCGTTTGTCGATAACTGTAGCTAATATTAGATCGATTTCTTTCTATCGTTTATTGATAAATGTAGCTGATTTTGGCTAGATTGCTTTCTATCGTTTATCGATAAATGTAGATCATTTTTGGCAAGATTCTCCTTTTCCTTTCCTACCAATTATCGATAACCTAAATATGTAAATCCCAATTCGGCGCTTGAAATACACTTTTCTATGTTTAGCGTAACATTCTTTATAATTTTATTATAGGCCACATTAAAGTTCTCTTAAAGGTCAGTTTTGAGCTTAATTTGATCGTTAATCGATAATCGATAGCTGCCTAAAATAAAAGTTTGACTTAAACGTCGATAATTCATGTTATGCTCGTTATTTAAAGTAAAAATCAAATGTAATTGATCGATAAACTATCGATTTGCAGAGACTTCTTGGCCCGATATATAACGTATTTAAAAAGATTTAACTCATGCCTCTTTTTTATTTCTATCGTTATTTTCGCTCTATGAACTTCCCTACTTGAAGTGGTTAAATCATTTGCAATTTATCGATAAATTATCGATGTGAAATAAGTCTCAAACTTCGACAATGAAGCTCATAGAATTTGTATATGCTGTTATTCTTTTAATTACTGAAAGTTAAAACTAGTTTTTATTGATATTCTGCTGTTATCGATAACTTATCGAATAACGAATAAAGCGACGGGTTTCAATGGCGCTTAAAATTGAAGGTGACATAATATGTACTTTCACTTTTGCTTTTCGATTGGAAACAACGCTCGAATACGCTATACGAACAGTTCTCAATCTTCCAGCGGACAAGTGTCTACCGATAAGATTGCCAACCATATTTAGTATATAGGCATATAGAAAAATGTAATCATATCGACAAGAGTGTGCCAGGGACAATGCAAGCAACAAAACAAAGCTTTGATAGAGGTTAACTAAAGCATTGTGGCATGCGGGCGACAGGGTTAAGCATATGAAACGGCGAACTACGATCTAATCGAATGTGCAAAGTTAAAGTTAGGGAGTTCCAAAACCAATGCAAGAAATGCCAATACCAAATGATATTTATATTAATATTATAATAATACAAAAACATATGTTAAACCAAATAATAAAAATGCAAACAAAACATAATAAATAAAACAATTGTAAAAGAAAAGTAGGCAAAAACAAATTCGTTGAGGGTTAGCAGCTAAACGAGATGTCAAAAAATTTGTTGCGACGGTTCTCTGATTGGATTAGATGGAACGGTTCTGCATCTGGTTCTTTATTTGTTTTGGGCAGTTGACAACTTACAGAGAATCTATATGTGTCCATGCTCAAGCCCATGATGTTACGATAGCCGTAGGGAGCATCGCATTTGGGGCATGGCTCCTCCAGGCTAAATTTTGTACGAATTTTGGTTTTCGATATTTATCAGATTTTTTTTTTTTTTTTTTTTTTTTTTTTTTTTTTAGTTTAAAGCAACAAGCAACCGATTTTTCACAATTTTCATACACATATATAGATCAGAAAAAAAAATATTTAAAAAGAGCGCAGGAAAAAGAGAGAGAGAGAGAAGAGAGAGAGGTGAGCATATATGTATATGAGAAAAACTCAAAAATACAAAGTATAAAAAAAAAGAATAAACTAAAATAAAAGTAAATAAATTAAAAATATTGCAAAGTCGAATTTCGTGTGTGGCCAGATCGTTGCAAATGCAGCAGCGTTGCCAGATTGCTTAGTGTGCAGTCTGGCAACCTTGATATGCTGTTCACTTTGCAGTGCTGCCACATTTCATTTTTACAACATAATTACATTTAATGCAGTCAAATGCCGTACGATATGAATAGATATATATGTTTACCGTTATACATTAATGTGCAATTCGAAAATCAGATAAGGCAAAAGACAAGCAACTATGAAAACTCACAAATGTGGCAACATTCAACGTGCGTGAACGATCTGGCAGCACGAATATACCGCACGTGTTAAGTTGGCTGCGCCTGAAAACAATAAGTTGCTTGACTTTTGCCTTTGCTGATTTTGGATCCAAACTTAAAACAAAATCACACACACACAGAAAAACACACACATATACACATAGAATAATACAGACAAAAGTTAAACAAATACATGAATACATAGTACGTACTATAGCTAAATATGTAAGAGATATGTATATAGATTTGACAAAAAGGCACATACAATACAATACGATACGATACGATAAGATACGATATATATATATATATAGAGAGAGAGATGCGAAAGATACGATAGTTAGGCGCCAAGGCAACAAGGGAAATGGGATAGCAGATGGTATTTTAGTTTGATCTTTTTTTAATGGGGCAAACACACAAAATGTAATGTAAAGCTAGACTTGTGATATGTGTAGAGTGCAACAAAAGATATATATATATGCATATATATATATATATATATATATATATATATAGATTAATTGGGGTCTTACAGAAAAGCTTTCGGTGTTATTGCTCAGTGGCATGTGATTGCGGTAACCATAGGGGGCCTTGCAGTTATCGCATGGATGCTCGAGTCTGTATAGATAAACATATAAACATATACATATATATATATATATAAATATATATCGATATGTATATATGTTATCGAACAGTTGTCGTAGGTTGATTGATGGTGATTTCGGTTGTTGTATTTGTTGTTGTTGTTGTAGTTGTTGTTGTAGTTTAATCATTAGATCATGATTATTTTGTGGCGTTAGTTTTGGTATTTTGTTTGATTCGCATAAAAGTAAAAATTAGGTAAAAGTTGGTTTGTTTTGAATTAGTCATTATAAAGACATAAATAGAGAAAGGAAGAGCATCAAGCTAAACTATAAAATATACATAAAATATGCGAGTGCTTAGTCGGCAGTGCCCGACTAGTAGATACCCTGAACCCAATAAACATTCTAACTTCCATCTAACAAAAATGTGCTTCTTCTTCCTTTAGCCCTACCCAAATGCGTTCTTTATTAACTTCGGTGTTTGTAGTCCAATCGTTGTGCAATTTTCAGGGCTTACCAAAGCTTTATATATTATACTACACTATACTATACTATATAGCTATATAGTATACTAGAACGATATATCAAGCTTGATATACTTATATATATGCATATACATATCATTTCTCTAGCTTAGACGCAGAATATATTTACATATATGAGAACATTATCGATCGGAGATGCTTTCTTCAGCCTGCTACATAAATTAGCACAAAATCAATATATCCTTTGCTTGGTTCAGGGCATAAACATATAAGAACGAACTGTTAATTTCGGCATGCCGAAGATGAAATACCCTTTGCAGACATGTTAACATGCGTAAAGGTTTTTCGTTTGGAAACATGGCAACTAAACGATATACTCGTCGAATATAGACAACTAATTAAAACTTTATTTAGCTGGCTCGAGATCCGGACAACTAATTTATGTTTAGGTTGTATTGTAAAAACAAAAAAGTTGTTCAAAAAGCAATGCAAATCTATAATAAGATGATAATGAAGATGCAAAGGAGAGCTCATTATTGCCATGTTTAATTCGGCAATTTTGAGTACCAAAGAGATTTTTCATAAGAGCACAGAGTTTATTTTTATAATATATGGATTATTATTCCTTTTTTTCCTATACTTGGTTTTAAGCGCTCATAAACTGAGAGACTTATTGTCAGACGGACTCGGAACAAGTGTAAATAGGTGAGATATGTTTATATACTATCTGCGGTCGGACAAGTCTCCAACAAAGCTGTTATAAGAACTTCTTCAAGGGCATACAAAAATTAATAATTAACATTATTCAATTTAAATTTCAGTAAAATTTGTGTAAGCCAAATGGTAAAAAGCGAATGTTTTTGTTCGAAATCTTGTTAGAAGTCATGAGAATGTAAATAATTCTAAAATTGAAAATGAATAATAACTAAATTTTGCTACTTTTCAAATGCTGCTTACCTAATACGTAAAATCAATAGACAAGGCTATTAATCATATACATAATACATATATAATATAAATTTCGACACTTAACGTTTACATTTTTGATTTCTACGAAATCGTGACTAATTTAACGAACGGATTCATCAAACGATAATCGTTTGTTCCACAGCAATTCGATGTGGTCATAGGAATACTTAAGATTCTTATCAAGTTGAATGGCTAATCGAAAGTCGAGAAGTTATTGAGGCATAACACTCACTTTTTGGGTATGGTGGACACGTAGGGCATCAGCACCTTGTCCACAAACGAGCCGAAGCCCAAGCGGAAGTTGGATGTGATGCGCTTCATTGTCTCGGAGAGTTTGTCGCCCAGGGCGGACAATTTCTCTTTGTCGTCCTCCATAGATTTGGACAAATCCATCAAGTAGTAGAGATCAACGGGATAGTCCTCGGCCTGTGAGTAGCTCACATCCAGATTGTGCACCTCATCTGCAAAATGAAACGGATGAATATATTTATCGATGCAACAGTTATCGATTACTTACTGATGCGCAGCTTGAGGCTAACACGTTGCGGCTTTATCTGGACAATTTCGCCAGCGGCAGCTGCACCGCCGACTGCTGCTGAGCCGGCGGCGCCGGAACTGGAACTGAAACCGGAGCTAGAGCCGGAACTGGAGCCGGAACTGGAGCTGGCGCCGTAGCTTGAACTGGAGCCGGAGGCACCATAAGAGCCAGACGAGGAGCTTTGGCCATGTGCACTGCTCTCGTAGGAACCACCCGACACGTATTGACCGCCCGCCCAAGCGGCACCGCCGCTGGCCAATGTCAGATCTTTGTTAATCAATATGCGCTCCGATGTGTCCGGATTCCAAATGAATTGCTCCGGACATACTTCCGCCTTGGGCGTGTGCAAAAAACAACGCGGCCGATCCCCATAATCGGGCTTCATGCACCAGCCACAATTCTGTGTCTGTATGCACTCATGGCAGGTCACCTTATTCACGCACGGATTCTGCTCCAGTTTGGCCGGCGACTGTTGTGATCCTTGGCTGGCGAGCGTCTGTGCTCCCGCCGATTGTTGTTGGCCCAGTGCCGCTGGCCAATGTGTCGCTATGCTGGCCAGGATGCACAGCAGTGCCACATGCAACAGCTGCTGCTGCTGCATCATTGCTCTACGGGTCTTGCGGTGTGCGGGTGCAGGTGCGGGTGCGGGTGCGGCGGGTGTTGATGTGAATGCTGTTGTCTCTGATCTCATCGTCGCTTTACAAGCGCGCACTCTCTCTCTCTCTCTATTGCTCTGTCTTACTGTTTCGCTCTCTTTCTATATGTGCTGTGGCTCTTTCGCTCTAATTGTTGTTGGGGGTGCGAAAGTTTCAGGTGCAGCGGCTGCAATAAATCAAATTAACAATTAATTAAAAATTCAATAATACGACTTGTTTTAATACTCTCACAAAGCGCATAATGAGGTATATGGGTTTTCATTTCAACATTACACAAAAAATGCTTCCAATTTTTAGCCACGCCTTGATAATAGCTCACAGTTTGAAAGCCACTGCATTTACAGTCTCAGAGTCACCGACTTATTAATCAAGTCCTGTTTTTACACTAGGTGTAGGGCATTGCGCTGTCGGTCACACCCGTCTCTATTTAGTTACTTGTTTTTTATTTATTTCAACTAGTTCACGAACATTTTAATACGCGTTTTTTAGTATAATAACATTTTTTATGTTCAATATATTTTTCAGCTATCTTTTTACCAAATTTCTCGCCTACAACATTGTTTTTTTTTTTTTGACATATTTATGAATTATTTTTATCCGTTTTTTTCGCGCTTTATGGGATTCATTGGCCGAAAATAAAAACTATTTGCAAGACACCAAAAGCTTTAATACCCTTTCATATTGCAGTTGGTTCAAAGGGGCAAGAACATTTTACGTCTTTTCAGAGTATTGATAAACAATTGGGCGTAAGAGGGCGTGGCAAGGAGTCAGCCAACTTACAAAAAAAAGTTAAATTATTCAAATTTGGTGAGTCAAGCTTTGGGGGCGTGGCAAGCTAATGATCTTTCAAGGAAATCATCAGTAATAAAAAAATGAATGAAAAATGTCAAAGACCAATAAGATTTTAGATACCAAGCTCTAGACGGTACCAACTAAACCATCTTATTGGACTTTGAAAACATCTAAACCTCAGATTCTAGCTCTAGACAATACTAGAATACTTCAAGTCTAAACCATAATATATTTTACTATTAAAAACATGGATGTGTAGTGAAACCGATTAATTTTGCCCGATTTTTACAATAACCCAACATACCTGCGATGCTTATTGGATTTGGCATTCTTATATGAAAACCAGTTGCAAAAGCTCTAACCTTGAGTTGCAAATGAAGGCGTATTATTTGTTGAGAATAGTATTTATATTAATTTTTAGACAAAAGTTGTCATTGTGTTAAACAAAAACTAAACATATTTATTAATTTACAACTGAATACACACATTACACATACATATGTATGTAAATAGGTGTGTGAATATGTTCGTCCAGCTTTCGTAAGGGTATAACAACAAACATCTGCTCAGGTTTGCCGTTACTTTGCCCTGCCCCGTTTTGCCTCATGCCTAAATTTATTTCTCTCGCAAGGCTGTTGTTGTTGTTGCTGTTCAGCTATACAATCAGCGTCGTTTCGTACGAAACGAACGAATCGAAAATCAAATTGGATATGACTCATCCTCTCAGCTTTTGGCTGCTGTCGGATGAGTGTAACAAAACAAACAACAACAAAAAAGAACGCACACATACACACGCACAGAAAAACACATGCTTGCTCTCATATAAGTTTAATGAATAAGGGCCAAAGGCATTGAGTAAAAAGAATCAATGGGCCAAAGGCAAAAGGCGTCTCACTTTGATGATGAGTGATAAAATGTCAATTATTGCACGGAGCGAGAGAGTGAGAGAGCGCAAACAAAAGGTAACGGCGGTTTAGCGAGTGCTTGCACTGTTAATGGGTATTCTTATGCTCGGCAAAACGTATTTCAAACATAAACAAAGCGCCGCGGCCAGGACAAAGACGCCCCTTTTTATTGCAAGCTCCCCCTATGGTAAATATGCTTAACTTTGTGCTATGTATGTTTTGTAAATGATTTTTTTTATTCACCACGGCTTGAGTCATGCAGCGACTGCGCTGACGTCTTCCGGGCACGAATGAATAATCAATCGCCTTGCAAACTTGACACTGGAGACTTGACAGTTGTGTGTGTTTTGTGCAGTTGGATGTTTTTCATGCCGTTAATTGAAAAAAAAATAGGGTGGCCATTTGTCGAGTTATGCAGATGGTTTTGTATCTAAATATAAACAACTGGAAGGTGTGGGGGGGGAGATGCAGTAATTTGCATGGGTAGAGAGCAAAGAACCGAATTTGGGCGCCCACAACATAAGTCAGCATACACACACACACACACACACGCATGCATGCATACGTACACGGATGATATGTACGTATTGGTTTTGGCCTCGTACGCTCGCCCACCACAAGCATCAGGCGGGCGGGCAGGCAGCCGGGCAGCGGCAACATCTGCGCTACATAATGTGGGCGTACAAGTTCCTCACACACCAGCCCATAAGCAGAGATAAACACAGCTACGCAAACATGCATGCACACACAAGCCCACACACACACATACACATACATACATATATATGCAGGGCAACAACAGAGCGATCCAATTGGATCTGCAACTCCTTGTGAGCAATAGTAAACACGGCGATAGGGGGCGCTGCTGCGTGCTGGTTAATGTAATCAGTTTGACGTTTGATCGTCAACTTTCCAAGTGTTGCCACCCCAATCAAAGAATTTATGCCGTGCTTTGTTCTTAAGCTCCAGCAGCAGTCGAAGTGGAGGATATTCATTGGCACTCAGCAAATAACGCGCACACACGCACACACAAATTCAATATAAGCGCAAGCATATTTATTCTTGTATGCCTGTGTGTGTGTGTGTGTGCGCGTTGGCCGCGTAGTCATCGTCATCGTCAATGAAATCATCAACACGAAGACTTCCCTTTGACCAAGAATGCAGTCAAAATTTCAACAGTTTCTTACGTAACATAACTTCATTCAGATTATTTCACGCACACTCTAACACGTTTTGCCATTTATTTTCAACGTTTTATGCATTTTCAATTAGTAATTTTACAAAATAGTTCCATCAGGGCGCGTTGCTGTGGTTTTATTTTGATTTCACGCACACACTTGTGGAGTTGCCCACTCATGCACACACATGTATGCACACAAAGCGCAAGCACATACACAATTACAGCACAATTGCAATCAGAGTTTACTTTTATGCACTTTCTGCATACCGAAAATTGTTGCTTAACAAAAGCAACAAATAATTTAACAATAAAATGAATAATAAAAAAAAATAGTTGGCAAAAATATTTGTGATAATTACTTTTGGCGACGACTCCGCACTGCCACTCGATTATCAAACAACTGAAGCCGTGTGACCAGACTTAAATAACATTAAAATGTGCAAGAAGTGTGACCAGGTTGCGACTTACTCGTACTATGCAAGCAACTTGTTATCGCATTCACGACTTATCGATATTATTCGCAAAAGTGCTTCCACTAACACATTTGTTAACGATCGAAGGTACATCAATAAAAATTAAATTAGCAGGCTTTGACTTTATACTTTTTATAAAAACTTTCAGCTATTTAAATGGCAAATACAACAAGCACCGATTACAAACTTGACAATTGCCACCGAGCTGATGCTAGTATTTCATTGCACAGTGGAAAGGCGCTATAAGAGTGACCACAGCAACGAATGCATAATGCCAAATACTAGAAAAATCATCAAGCGAAATAAACCAAAAAGAACAACAATAAAAACGCGTCGAGGTGAATGTAAATAAAAGACTGTCCAAAAATTTCGTTTATCTGACAAAAAAAAAAAGCATAAAAACAAAGCAAGTGAAGTCATCAATAGCCAACACCAAGCTAAAATAAAACGAAACGCAACGCGCACAAAGAAAGCAGCAACAGCATCAACAACAAAAACAACTTTGCTTCGTTTCGTTTCGTTTTTTTTGTATTTTTTTTATTTTTGATTTGCAAAAACTGCCGTCAACAAAAGGGGGCGACGCCCGCGTCGCAGCATGGAGGACTTCGATATTGATCTGGATCTAAATTTCGTGCAGCTGAGCCGGCAACAGTTGCTGCAGCGCTATACGAACGCCGTGCGCCAGCTGCGCCGTGTGGCCGACGTCAATTACGGCGTGCGGCCGCTGAGCTTCGATAACTATGTGATCTTTCAGTATTTCCAGCAGCGCAGCCCCACCCCGCTCTACAATGCGTCCAGCACGCCGCTGATGGCCTATCTGAAGCTGGAGGTGCTGCATCATTTGCTCGATCGCCGGCGCAAAATCCTGTGCTGGCTCTTCTATTTGACGCTGATGTCGCTGTGCGTTGTCGCCTATCGCTACGAGACGACAAATGGGGCGAATAACGGACGCATGGTGCAGTCCCTGGTGTATCCGGGCATGCGAATGTGGCGCCGGATGACCATGCCGCTAATACAGCGCTTTCCACGGCTCACCGAACTGTACGACGAGTCCTGTTTGATGGGCAATCCGTTCTTTCAAGTCGAGGACCTCAGCTGCGGCCCCTGTGCGGATGTGGAGAACGTCTGGCTGGAGAGCGATGAGTGCGCCCAGCTGTATGTCGATGCTGGTCACAATGTAACCACACTCAGTCAACAACAACGGCAGCAGCAGCAGGAGCCGGCGACCCTGGCTGGTTATAAGCAGCTGGCGCTGTTGCAGCATTGCCGGAAGCCCACGGAGCATATGCCCTATACGTTCCGGAGCAATCAGCATGGCTTTGATTTGGCTGACTTTTACAAGATCTATGCGAACAACCTGAAGATATTCCAGCGCGACGCATACCGTGTACACTCGACCAATCAGGGTGTCCACAATCTGGAGGATCTCTTTGGCCAGTTCAATAGCAGCAGTGCAGCCGTTGATGATGTTCTCGGTGCTTCCACAACATGGTCAACGCATGCGCACAATCTGTGGCGCTGCAATCGCATGTTGCCCGCCCGTTTATTGCGACCCATATTTGCACGACCACTGCGCTTGCCCAGCATGGGCGTGGCCCTGGAACGTTATGTGGCCATCGATACGGCACAGGCGCCGGCATATACGCTACCCGAAACCGAATGCCCCAATGTCTATGTGCACCAGGCGGTCGGCACACGCTTCATCATACTGCGTCCGACCAGCGAATGTCGCCAGCGCTGTCGCACGCTCTCCATGCGCCTCACCCAGTCCTTTGTGCGTAAGTACGGGTGGCTTTCTAAATGGCCAACAAGTTTGATTTCACCATTTTCTGTACGTCTTTTGCAGTTACTTACAATTGGCTGTACTGGAAACCGATTTCGGCGCCCGATCCCATATCGGAGAGCATGTCCATTAGCCTCATCGGCTCCTACTGTTAGGCTGGAAGAGTCCGTTCAATTGCCACAAACCCGCCCTCCCATCACCACCATCATCATCATCATCATCGTCACCCTTCACAATTCTCAGTCAACATATTTGTTTGTTAAATGCCATGCCAAATTTTTTCTAACAAATTTTTGTCGCTCAATTTGGAAAGAAAAGAAAAAGAAGAATATTTGTAGAAACGAAAGCTGTGCGCGCACCCATTTGAAATGGGGTCAGCTCTATTAGCCATAAGTTCCATGTCCTATTTTATTATTCCTGTCCCAATATACTATATACATAGCTGATAAGTTGAGCATAGCGAGTGCCCCGAAAATTGTTCCCAACATTTTGTTGGCCACATTCTGTGTTCTAATCTGGGGAAAAGTTTAAATCATTTTTCGTCAACAATTGCATTTATATTCAGCTCTAAGTTTGCACTTTTTATTTTAAATCATTAAATATATATATATATATATATATATCTGACATATGAAGTATATATATATATATATATATATATATACATAGGATGCCAGCATAGAAATTGTCAATATGCTTTTTTGAGTTCCCGTTCGATTTGTTCAATGCAAATGTTTGCCAAATTAACAATGAATTAATAAATTCTGCAGCTATATATAAATAAATGTATATATGCATGCATTCACGTATACATATATGTATATATATATATAACTCCTATATATAACAATTTCAAACGGAAAATCCGAAAGAAAACTTTAATTTTTCAGTTACACATAAACGATCTATTCGATTGGCTTTCGCATGATTCTTCCTATATAATATGGCAGCTCGATTTTCAAGTTTTTGTAAAACTCATTTTATAGCTGGAGATGTACTATGATGATAAATATCTTCAAGATTATAAAGAAATATATTTCACGGCTCTACAAATCGCAAGAATCGATATTTCCCAAATTGCGCAGTTTGAAATGCACTAGACTCCACAGTTTTAGAGCCACAATCAAGGAAAATATTCTCCCAACTGCTTTTAGATTCAGATCGGTGAACTATATCAAAAAAAAAATATATATATATATATTTACTGCCTGATAGCTTTAATTACGGAGAGAGAGAGAGAGAGAGGTATATTGCATAGAAAGAGAGAGAAAGACAGGCATGGCTATTGAGAATATATACTATATAGTTTATGGATATTTCTCTATCCGACTGCTGTTTATAAATATAGTTTTATCTACCCCTTTTTGTTAGCAAAGGGTTTACATTTACATGAAGTTGAAACGTTTACGAATATGAAGGCAAAGCAGAAACAAATCAAAAGCTTACCGCGCAGTGAGAGCGAGCGAGAGAGAGAGAGAGAGAGGGGGGAGAGCCCGTAGATAAACGTTAGCAGCTGTTACCCGTCCTTGCCCGAGCCAATTAGTTTTTCATTATTTCACATTTTAGCACACTTCAGAATTGCCGCAATCAGTACACCTTATATTATATTTGAAATTAACTTTTTAGACGTTTTCCGCCCATTTTCCAAACTTGAAAGTGGTTTAGCATAAATCTCGAAATTAAATATTTTGAAGCCTAAGACAAGCATTTAGTATTTGGCCTTATTTTCCATCCACGGCGGTGGAATGGAAACAAATGTGTTTTATAATGTATTTAGACAAAGAACTGAGTTTAAAGCCTTTTCAATAATGAAACGAAGTTTGAAGTTACTGTTTTACACCCATTTTCCACAACTTGAGGTGGATCAGTCAGTCAATCGGTCAATCAGAACAGTTTCAATCCACTTGGTTTTTGGATGCACTTCACGAATCTCCGGCCTTGGTCAGTGCATCGAAGTAGGAGCCCATCATCAGATCGGCGGGCGCAATGCCAAACGTTTGGCTCAGCTGCTCGGCAATGGCCTGGCCCTGTTCGGGCGTCTGTTCGGGCCGCAGACATACCTCAAACTCCATGAAATGCCCCAAATCCTGCACCTCATCCATGTGAATGCGCGTCTGCTCGTAAAGGAAGAGCAGCCGTCGTTTGGCCAGCACGCCCAGTGCACCGTTCGATTGGCGCAAAATCTTCTCCAGCACCGCGGGCTCGTCCACCTCGATTTTGTTGTATTTGGAGAGCTTGGGCCCGGCCACATCGGGTCTGTCGTAGTAGACAAGCTGGGAGCGTGCCGGCGCCTCCAAGTAACGCAGCTTCAGCCGGCCGCCCTTTGGTGAATTGAAGAAGACATCGCGCTGCACAATTAAATCGCCAGCGGCATCGGTTAGCTGCCGGGCAATGCCCAGGCGACGTTCAAACTCCACTGCGCCGCCGGGTATGCGCGCCTTGATCTCCACGTTGCGCTGATCGGGTGTCACAGCTGTGTCGCACATGTTGCTTCCGTTGGTTGCTTTGATTTTGACTTGTCTGATTTGTTGTAAGAAATGCCGTAATTGCATATATTTACACATAGAACCCCGTTTTACCGGCCTCTTTGCGCTTTTCGATCAGCGTACACGCGCGCTTTTGCTATCGTTATCGATAGTTGACACGAGTCTCATTTGGTGTGGCAGCACTTTGCTAACTTTCGCAGTTGATGTGTACACACTGTGCGCGGCTTGGCGCCAAAATGCGCTCTTTTGAAAGCAGATAGTGTAATTGTTTTAATCTGTGCCATGAGCTTGTTTAAACTTTTACGTTTATGTATATATAACTTATATGTTTATTTTATTATTATTTATTTATTCGTTGATTTATGCACAATTAAAGTGTACAAAAAATACCCTGTGCCTTGCTCCGAATCGTGGGAAAATATGCATATACGCTAATACACGCACGCTTAAAGCAGTGGCAGCTCGGCTGTTGCTTTTCCCAAGAATAGTTAGAATACCCTGTACATACTGCGTACTGTGCGTATGATAGGCCAGACAGATTGAAGACGATAAGCATCGTTTTTTAACATCGGGTTCGGGTGAATCTTTTGGGTGCTAGATATATCAAATTTGGTATGTAGATTCTCATATATATCACTATTAGAATAAAACCGACCTAAACTGAAAATATTCTTTATTTTGTATTGAAAATTTTAATAAAGATCAGACTTGGCACACCCCATTAATACACAGAGGAGAAGCAGTTTGTGTGTGTGTGTGTTTAAATCGAAGTTTTTATAACTGCTCTGCTCTGGTTACAGGGTATCTGCTAGTGAGACGCTCTCTACCTAAGCAGGCTTACGTGCATGAATGGACACAGGGTATCTATTACAATCTTTAATGATATATACTTATATATGTATATTTATACATACATATGTAAACGTGCATATACATATATGTATGTACTCAAGCTAAATATAAATGTACATACATACGTACACATACATATTTCTAATCACTCAACAAAATAGCAAATGTGCACTTACATATACATGTACATACATATATATTCATGCACATATATTACGTATGTATGAACATATACATACATACATATATGAGCACCCGAAAACGTGTTCGTTTATATGTATGTTTGTATGTACATACATACATACACATATGCAAATACTTAGATGCAAAAGCAACAAACAGCAAACCCAAAAAAACATATGTATGTAAATAAAAAAAATCTACAACAACAACAGCAAGAAAACACAATGTGTAGACAACACACACAAGTTGCATAGTCTCCTGGCCGGGCCCCGCTTCGTAGCGCGCAATGGCACACGATAGGTAAGCAAGCGGCAGGCAGCGGCAGCGGCAGAGGGAAAGCGATAGGCAGAGCAGAAGGCGTCAGCGGTGGCAGCGGCGGCAGCTATGATGACGATGCCGCGCGCGCAACGACTTTGGCAGCTCAATACACACACACACACACACACACACAGAGCGACCGAGGGCGGCGTTCGTGTGCCCTGGGCGTGTCACAGTGTCAGCGGGCGAACGCGTTGGCGGGCGCAAGCGGGTGTATTGCCATCTACTTCCCATTTTGAAAGCTTTTGCGCTCGTTTCGCTGGCGGGGACGTCGGCTTTGATGTTCGGCTCAGAGCCGAATAACTTTCGTTGCTGTTGTTCTTGTTGTTGCTGCTTTTGCTTATTACCCTGCATGTTCGAAATGGCAATAGCAAATTTACTTTTAATTTGCCACCACCTATGCCCAACACCATCCCACCCCCTCCACCGAAAAACCGACGACACCTCCATTTTGTTTTCTGCACTCTTCGGGTTCGCTCCACTGTAGCACTGGAGCGGCGCCCTCTGGCGGCTAGCAGAAAACCCGCTTTCCCCCACCCACAACAAAAACAAAAAAGAACCAACTGTCAGGTGCAGGGTGGCAACCATAATAGTTGTTGTTTATGATAGGTTGGCAACACTATAAATCGATATTGAAAATAATTACAAGCTTTTGCTGCAATTTTTGTATTTTTAATAGCTAATAAATTGCACATAATCACTTATCGATTTGATTTAGAGCAGAGCATTTAGGCAATTATAATGCAATTTAAGGGATTTAATTAAAGAATAATGGTAGTAAAGGATATAAATTTTTGCAAATGTATGTATGTAAAAGGCAAAAGTCATGTCCTTGCTCGATTGCTCCGATCGAAACGGAGTCTACCTCCAAATGGCCAGCCCAAACGTTTTCCACTCAACCGCCCACCCATATCTCGCAGATTATGTACATATTTACAGACATATGCAAATACATGTGTGTATGTATGTATACATGTGTATGCACAGATCAAGTACATACATACATATGTATTTAACTTCTTGAGTGCCTTCATCCACTTGTGAATATTGCGACAGCTCGGTGCTAGGTACAGGCCATCTCCAAATTACATTGTTTTCTTCTAAAAAAAAAACTAAAACTGTAGATAATATATAAATACACATGTTTGTATGTAAATATGTACATGCATACACATACATATGCATATGTATATGTGTATGTTTAGCGATTACTAAACGTTTTCTGTCCGATCGTCAAGAACAGCTCGAAGTACAACGGGATTCCCGTCCCATCGCTTGTTTATAAAATGCAACTTTCTGACTAAATCGTTAGAAAGAAAAGACTTTAAATCTGAGCTCAACCACAAATACATACATATATATATATACTTACATGTACAAATAAATATGTACATATCTATTTACGTGGGCAAACGCTGAGATTTTCCAATGTATTATTGTTTACAGTTTGGCTTAGAATATATCGATATCCGATATATTAAAATGCTATTTACATAGCGACTTTGCTGCCGAATAGCAACAAACATGCATACATATGTATATATGTACATACATACATGGCGTATCATTTGTATGTACATACATATGTATGTATTTATTTGCTCCATGATCATTGCAGTGGATATTTGATACTCTGACAACGGCAAACGCCGTGCACGCCGGGAATCAAACCAATTCCTCAGTAGGCCACATTAACAGATAATCTGCCGCTAAGCTGGCGATACACAGATATGTATGTATGTATGTACATATGTACATACCAACCTCCCTCCTCCCCACCATGCCATACCTCGCATTTTGGCAGCATTCCTCTTGCTCATTCTTCTTCTTTCAACGAACATTCAATTTTCTTGTGTGTATCTAAAGAATTATTAACTATGTTCGTAGAAATAGATACATCTACACATACATATATACACACATATTCATACATATGTATGTGTGTTTGCTTGTATTGAAGCTTTTTCGAGCGAGTGAACGGATATCAAACAAAAAAAAAACAAAAAAAAACCCGTATCCGACCAACCGGCATACATACATATTTATGTATATACACGCTCAAATGCGTGTGCATGTGTGTGTGTGTGTGTGCAAGTACACAAACACAGACACTCACACAAAACAGATACGAAAATTTAATGCAGTTTTCTCGATTTTCTATGTGGAATTCTCCGTTGTCGCTGCCGCAGTCAGCGTCTGCGCCGGCCGACAGACCGACAGACAAACAGCGACGACGACCTTCGCTGCATCGCGTACTTTTGTTGTTTCTCTTCTTCTTCTCCTTTTTCTTCTTCTGCATTTGTGTTTTTGTTGTTGGTGGTGTTGCCGCTGCCGCTGTCGCTGCTTTTGATTGTTGCTGTTGTGGCCCTCAGTTTGGTAGCCGCTGCGCTGCCGATGGCACAAAATGTATTGGCCATATACATACATACACACATACATATATTTGGACGTGTGTGTGTGTGCTGGTACCTTTTTGTATGTATCTGTTATGTGGCTGTAAATGCTCCCCTCTAGTACTCCCGCTCCCGCATTCTAGCGCACTCTCTCTCTCTTTTATGAGCTCTCTCGCTAGCTGTACATATATGCATGCATGCATGCATATACATATATTTTTGTGCTTGTATGTGTGTAACCAGCTGCGACTTTAAGTTTTTGTTGTTGCTGCTGCTGCTGCGAATTCGCTCCCAGCTGTGAATGTGCCTGTGTGTGTGTGCGAGTGCGAGCGTGAGTGTGAGAGTTTGGTATATTTGAGAGATACTTTGACCTTTTTTCCCATCAAGAAGACTTGAGCTGTTGTTGTTGCTGCTGCTGCCGCTGCCGCTGCTGGCGTTGCCACCGCAGCCGCAGAGAGATCATTGCAGATTATACAGGGCACGTAATTTAGTATATACATAAGTGTTTATCTAAGTACATAATATCTATATGTCTGTATGTACATGCATGTATGTGTGCGCGTAAGCGTGTGAGTAATTTATGAATTTTCGTTTTATTTCGGTTTTAATATTTGTTGTTGTTGTTGTATTTTGAACAGCTCAGCTGCGTCGCTGCCGCTGCGGCTGCCCATTTATGACTTCATTTGCCGCTTTGTCTTTTAATTTTCCCAAAATTATTTATGTACATACATACATATGTATGTATATACTTATTTTTTGCGCTCTCTCGCCGCATGCTTCTATGTATTTATAAGATACATTTCTTGCGGTCGCTGGCGCGGGCTGCACTGCGAACGCTTGCAAAGGTGTGCTGATAAGTGGTGGGTGTTGTGGGTCGGTGGGTCGGTGGGTGGGTGGTTGGGTGGTTGTTGTTTGCTCTTTGCTAGATGGGGGCCTTGCCAACAAGTGGCAAGTGGCGAGGCATACACATTTTTCTGACAGTCCTGGAGCGCAACCCTGTCAAAGCCTTCCGGTTCAACGGACTGTTCGTTTTTTTCTTCTGTTTCCTTTTTGTTTTTGTTTTTGCTTTTTTTTTTTGTTTATTGGCATATAACCAAAAATAGTGGCAACGCTCGTGTTCGCTTTTGCTATTTCGTTTATGTTTATGTTACTTTATTCTTCGTTTTCTTGTTGGATTTTCATTGTTGCAATTTGCTTGGGAGCTGCCTTTGCTTTCGCAGTGGAAAATAAATAATTTATAAAATGCACACACATACACACATATATAGTATGTGTATGTGTATGTGTGGGATTGAAATATACATGCATATATGTGTGAGAGAGAGTGTGTCTGTGTGTGTGTGTGTGTAGCTATTCCACTCACAATACGTATATGTATGTACATATGTAT